GGAACACAGGCAGAGACCTCATTGTGATCCTGATCGCCTGACACCGGGCCGTTCTGCTGCCAGGGGTGGCTCAGACCCAAAAATCACTAGGGCCCTACGAAAAGACCCATAAAGGGTGCGCGCGTGTGTATATGTGTGTAGCATGCGTGCGCGCATAGGGCGGCGATGAGACCTCATGGAGCTGTGCGTTTCCACTCCCAACTCCTTTTTCCTGTGATTCACTTTATGATTCTATAAAATAGAAATTCAAAAGGATATATGAAACTTCCCAAGAACAAAGGGATCCGCCTACAAGGGAACAGGACTTGAGCTGCTGGGGATTCATAAAACTGCCTGATTCCGGATTTGTAAAGATGTCGCTTGCTGGGCCAAGCCAGCTCGGAGCGGGGCAGGGGTCCGCTGCAGCTTCTCCCCCCCCCCCAACGCTGCCGCCTCTCTTGGGCCTTTGTTAACATGAGATTTCCCGGAGCTTTGCCCCTGCAAAGTCATGCCAAAGGCAGGATCCCTACCTAAAACCTGGCAGATTCCCCCACCCCCAACCCCAGGCAAGACTGAAAGCGTAGCAACTCAGAGAGCAGGAGCCCCAGGTCCTCAACCAGGCTGATGCCAAGGCTGTGAATGACCTTGGACAAGTGCTTGAAACTCTCTAGTCTTCCATACCCCCTTCATCCCACCCTACCCCGTTTCTGGCAAAGTATGGCAAGGCTTGGGGGCATGGTTATCAGTAAGGTCCCAGCTTGCATTACCCTCAACATTCAGTGTGTTTAAGATGAAGGCTTTTCAGCTGCATGTATTTCAGCAAGGATGAGACAAACAGCTCTTCACTCCTCAGGTGCCAAATAGAGGGGGGTGGGTGGCAATCCCTTTGGTTGGCTGAGTAGTCATTAGGAAGCCAGCTGCAAACTTGTATTTCCCTCTGGGATCCTGGATGAGCCCAGCTGGCCCTGCCAGGAGAGCTTCTCTTTAAAACGAAGCTGTTGCTTTCATGTGACTGGCCCAGGAGGATGCTCTGTGGGTAATGCAGTGTCTGGGTGCCCTGGTGAGCAGATCTGCAGGGAGTGGATTGGGTACGATGGAGAGACATGGGGAAGAACTCAGCACAAGGTTCTTATTGGACCTGAGAGCCTTGACTCTCCAAGTTGATCTTCCAGACTTGCGTATCACAGGTTAATACTGGACCCATGCATAATGATACATAATTTGAGACTTGTAAAAGCTGCCTTGGACTTGAAAGAAACACAGTCCATGCCAGGAAGGTTATGCCTGGCATGCAAGAGCAAGTCGTACTGGTAGAATGCGTGTCCAAAGCAAGGTTGACAGGCTCTCAGAGGGTACTGTGCAGGTCGAGGTGGGGGTGGGGGGACGGGCCTCATCCTGCAGCTAGAAAACCTTCCAGCTCCTGCCATGCAAGCCTCATTTGGTACATCTTGCTCTTGCTTTTATTTCAACCAGCATTGCCAAGGCAGTCCACAAAGGGAAATTCGTTATTTTTTTTTAATAGACCCAGAAATATCTCATGGACTTGAAGTGATGTAAACTTTGTTTTTTAAAACTTCTGGGGCCAGAACTGTAAAAGAAGTGCCTTGGGGGCACCCTTCCACTTCAGATAACCAAGCTGTTTGTTGGCATTGCTGCGGACTGACATAGCCTGAGCTGGGATGTTTAGCTGCTTGTGGGGTGGGAAAAAAAAATGTTAAGAAAAATAATTGTTGTTTTTGCAAACTATCTATTTAAAAACAGAACCTCAGGAAGCAGATTTCTGTTCCAGTGCCTGGATGAATCAGAGCTTACAAAGTATAAATACACATTAGCAGGAGGAGGCTTCCCAGAACCCATGTGCCTGTGTGTCTTCCCAGACCAGGAACCTCTGAACTCTGGCTTCTCATTCCCAGTAGAGGCAAGAAAGAGACCCACAGTCAAAACGGAAATGGTAGAGCCTTGCTCAGCTGAACTTCAAATCTTGGTAGGCCTGTTGAATTTTTTTTTTTTTTCTGGAAAGAAAGCTGGCCATTCACTGCACTATTGCACACTTGCTCACTTTGGGACACTCAGGTGTGAGCCATGTAGAAAGCTAGGAAACCCAGACTGTGGCTCCTCTGGCTCTTTTGCGACCTCAGAAATATTTCTAAATAAGTTCCATTTGACTCACTGACCTCTCAGATCAGCTAATAAAGATGAAGCACTTAGGCCATAACTTGCTCAAGGGGCCAGTGCAATTATTTTACTTAAGAATGATGTCAGGTGGCAATTTAGTAACCAACTGGCTCTCAGGCTATTTAATTCAGTTTAACAAGGAGGAAAAACATTGTAATTAATGAAGAACTTGTACTTTAGCACTTTAGCAGGGTTATTCTCAAATTTTACTGTATTTACGGGGGTGGGAGAGAAGCGGGAGGTGGTGGGAGAGATGGATGGGTATGTTCGAATGGAGGTGTGGGCTTAGCCTGGGAATCTGCATCTAAGAGAACCTGACCTGCATCACCCAGCCCTACCCAGCTTGGACTGGTTGTTTCCCAAACCTACATCTCTAATTGCAGAACCCGGTGATGGCTTTCCACCTCACAACAACCAGCTTCAGCCTACTTCTTTGCTGGAATTTCATGATATATGCTTTTTAAAAATACATTTTTATTGCAAAAGGTGATGGAAAGAGAGAAAGAGAGAATCTTCCATCCACTGATTCATACCCCAAACAGTCAAGAGCTTCTTGTGGGTCTCCCACATGGATGCAGAGTTCCAAGGTTCTGCTGCCATCCTCTGCTGCTTTCCCAGGCCACAAACAAGAGCTGGATCAGAAGTGGAGCAGCTGGGACTTGATCCAGCGCCAATATGTGCTGCAGACAGAGAATTAGCTTGTTATGCCACCACGCTGCCTCCCCCACCCCCGTATGATTGAGTCTAATGCTAGAGTTCTAATTGGCCAAGTTTCTGGACTGAAAGTTCTTTCTCTCTGAGGATCCTTTTACAAAGAGGGCCTCGAACATTTATGGGCACAGAATCCCTTACCCTGCCCTCTCCTACCCCAGGGTAACCAGGGCTTTCCTGCCCATTTCCTTCTCCCCTCAAACCCTAAAAACACCCTTGGTAATTAAGCCCCGGGTTTTTAGCTCGCCTGTGAGGAGCTGGCTCTCTACTCTCCCACTGAACAGAAGGCTAGTCAAGACAACACCCGTGAATCTCAGCATCACTTCACTTGTGGAGTGAGTTGTAGAGACTTATTAAACTTTTTTTCTTGGCACAAAAGTATTTGGCAGCTACCCAAAGTATCCTAGGGTCAACACCGTGTTTTAGCGATCTAATCCTCTGCCTGCAGCACCGGTATCCCATATGAGCACTGGTATCCCATATGAGCACTGGTTCTTGTCCCAGCTGCTCCATTTCCCATGCAGCTCCCTGCTAATGTCCTGGAGAGGCAACAGAGGATGGACCAGGCCCTTGGGCCCCTGGACCCACGTGGTGGAAGGGACCATGGAGCTCTTGGCTTCCAACTTCAGATAGGCCCAGCTACAGCTGTTGTTGCCATTTGGGAAGGAAGCCAACTAGTTTATGGAAGATCTCTAACTCTCCCTATCAAAGCAAAATAAATCTTAAAAAAAAAAAAAAGAAAGAACCCTAGGGTCCTATACAACCCAAGTTTACCAGCCCCCAGGATGCAAGTTGCTTCAGGACAGCGTTTGGGTGCAGAGGTGCTGGGACAGCCTCCAGGCCCGTGGGCTCTCCCTTTCCTCCCGGTCTTTTGTCTCCAGCTTCCAGAGACCAGCGAGAAGGGACTGCTCTACTCCCTAGGGAAATGCCACGGAACCCAGGCTCACAGCCACTCAGGTCCCTTCAGTTACCACCTGCACGAGCCAAGACACATCTGTCGGCCACTCCTAGAGCTGCTGTGCACCAGCACTCCTCAATGAGCTCGGATCAGGGACCCGGAGACAGGGACACTCACCGAGCCCGTTACCTGTTCTTGAACAAGATGCCCAAGTCCCAGGCCAGTAGAAAATAAAATCTCCCAAGGAATGGAAGAGCCACATTCCCATCTGCTCTGGTTCTGTGCGGTGTTCACTGGCACCATGCAGAGTGAGGCTGAGAAGATACCAGAGGTGGGCAGAGGACAGGCCTGTGCCGTCGAAGCACCGGGCAGACCGCCTTGAGAGGTGCACTTTGGCTTCGGAACTGGAAGCAAGGGAATTCTTGTCACCTCCACGCCACTCCTGGAAGCCATCCACATTCCTGTTTGCTGCAGAGGTGCCAGAGGCAAAACCCCAAGCTTCTGCCATCGTATCATGCCAGTCTCTGGCCCCCAGCAGTCATGCCCAAGAACCACAGCTCTTCTGCCCTCTGATGTGTAGGGCCAGCCCAGCTGACTCCGCAGTCTCACGCAAGACCAGGCACCTGCCAAATGGCAAAGCCAGCCTGGCCCAGCACTGCCTGCCTTGTGCCCAGGCAAGGAGTACAACGGTCCTACTGCCAGAAACTTCCAAGTGTAGCCAAGAAACCACCCACAGGGGTAAGTACGCAAAAACGCTGCAAGACTATGGTTTGTAATGCCAGGGCATGCGCACTGTTCCAAGTAGCCAGGGGGGAGGGGAAAAGAAAAGCAAAAAACAAAACACAAGGCAGCATTAGACGTCCTCTTCCTCACCCCACACCAATTCCAAACTATTTAAAACCCCCTGAGTGCGGTGGGCAGGTCCTGGGACTGTTCAATAACAATTCACTGCCACACTACAGGCCATTAATCCAGTGGTGTTTATTCAAGCAGTATTCACACTTGCTGTTGAATAACAAGGGAATCATGCTTCCCCCCACAGCTCCAGCTTCCCCGCAGCCCTGCGGTCTTGGAGAACTTGCGATGAATGCTATGGTTGGAAAGCCTTTTCAGGTCCACATCCATGCACCTGCGTGGCATAGCCTGCCAGCACAGGCTCCGCAGCGTGGCAGAGGCACCCAGCCAAGCCACGCACAACTAGGTAAGCTCACGGGAGGCCACACTGTTCCGTGTTTTCATACAAAAAATTTAATAAATATTACTTTCCAAAAATTTATTGCCAGGAACAACACATCAAAGATGCACTTTTTTTCCCTGGTGTATTCATATAACAGTAATAGGACAATACAAAGTATCTTCACGGTCTCACTGGTGAACCAACAAGATGACTCTGTTTTTTTATAAGCCTTTTTGATCTTGAACTTTGTAATAGCACTTTGATTTCCTCACTTAAGGCAGGCAGTGTACTCTACGGCAAACCTAAACAGTGATCTTACGGGACATTTTCTGGTTCAAGTATTCAACTAGCTTATTGGAACACTCCCTAAATGCAGTAGATAACGATGACGACAACAACAAAATCAAATCTAAAGGTGGTTTGGTATTAACGTACACATGGTGAAAAGAAATCAGAATTTACACAGTAAGATTGGTGTGCTTCCAACTTCAGTCAATTTGCTACTTTTGATGGTGTTCACTCCCTCGCATTTGGGCTATGGTAAGTTACCCCCGAGCCTGTTCCTCGGAACCGCTCTGCAGCAGCTCACCTGTCTCTCTCTTAAGTGTAAAGAAAAATTAAAAAAGAAAAAAAGGAACTTGTTCTCAAACAGCCTCAGTCAGTCCTTAAAACGCATTTTAAAGTGATGCTACAGGAGGTGTTTTAACATCTGACGTCGTACAGAAAAAACAAAAACACAGCTATCCATCAGCATTCCAGGCAAGGAAGCCCATCTTATTTTTCAAATAAACTAGTTTCAAACACCTTAAGTTTGGCTTATAGGCAACATGTAATAAGTTCAAAAAAAAAAAATAGTTGTAACGCTTACACTGCTATCAAAAACCTTCAGTTCTAAACACATACATATAAATAAAAAGGAATGATGTTTTAAGGCTCTTGATTATTAAGTTAATAAATCAAATATACACAGTGATTAATAAAAAAGAATTATTTACATAACTATACAAAAATTCTACTTTTGACATTTTTTTTCCTCTTTAAATTCTTCATTTGACCAGCAACTGCTGACATCCAAGTCCCCCCTTCCCAACAACAAACAAAATACAATAAAAAAAATAAATAATAAACTCATTTGTGATAGCTGCTGTGGTTCTGAGCTGCAAAGGCACTTCCAAATACAGAACTACTTGTACGTCATCATAAAACCAATATACAAAAACAACTCAAGAATCAATAAATATAAATAAAACTATGATCCCAAGACTGCATCACCGTTAGGACATCTGGCAGGAGTGGGAGTTCGGGACCAAAGGCTGGGGCAGTCTCCTGGGAGCCCGATCCGCAACGTGTCAGCCGTAGGGAATGGTCCAACCAGGGCACTCTTCGCCTACCTTTTTCTTTTGTTTTTTTTTTTTTGCATAGCTGTGAGATGCAGCCCTCGCTTTCCCAGCCAACCACAGAAACTACCATTGCCAGTGTAAGCCAGCTTGTCAGAACTTAAATTAACACAGGGGTTTTTCTAAGTCAACAACAGCCTCAGACTCGAATAGGACACAACAGTTTCAAGAACTGCCAAGTGGCCTCGCTCTCCCTCGTGGTGGCAGCGCCCGCCCTCTGCTATACGATGTACTCCATCCGGTTCAAGCTCTGCGCGCTTTCCAAGTCTCTGTTGTCCTGTTTGTTTGTCCAGTTGGGGTGTTTTGTCGGCGTGCCATTGGGGGGCTTCTCGTCTCTGTCTACCAGCGTGTATGCGGGCTGTTTGGCGAACCGGGCTTTCTGCTGGTGCTTGTCCATGTCGTCCTCTTCGACTTCCGAGTTGTGTGTCCTTATTTTAGACATTTTGGAGTTCTTGCTCTCGTAGTCCTTGACAGGGACCGTGTTGGCGCCATGCTTCTCAATGGGGTTCTTGATCTGGTTCAGCTGCTCCCGTACGTTGTTGGTGGTGTTGTCCTCCGAGGCCGAGCGAGTGTGGCTGCTGGGCTTCCGCCGCTTCCGCACGCACCAGTAGAAGGCCGTCACCAAGCAACAGACCCAGGCCACAGTTAGGACGGAGCTCAGCAAAGGAACCAGGAAATCTGGAAGGCAGGCAGGCACAGGACCCATCAACTTGGCAGACAGGAACTAAACAATACCAAAAGTGGTGCTCCTGTCCCGAGTCCCTTACAGGGACACACCATGGGGCCCAGTCCCTTTTCACAGCTGCAGTAGTTGTCAGTTCCCAGCTCTAAGGAGCTCTGTCCCTACTCTGCCCAGGGTAGTTCTGAAAATCTGCTTTTCAGAACTATCAGAGGCCCGAAGCAAGTGGCTCCCATGCCAGGGGATGAGGGCTGACATTCTCATCTTGCTACCACAGTGATGATTGGGAAATCAGGGAGCGTCTGGCAGAATGATGAAGATGCCACTTGGGATAACTGCTTCGGATGCCTGGGATCAAGAGCTGGGCTCCCTGCTACCCATATCAGAGACCCAGAGTGACCTGTAGGCTCCTAGCTTCATCCGAGCCCGGCCTAGTCCTAGCTATCACAAGCGTTTAGAGACGAGCTGAGAGATCTCCCTTTCAGAAAAAATGAAGAAAAATGGGAAAAGAAATGGGCGTGAGAATGAGGTCATCCTACAGAGTCATCAAGCCTCAAGTAAGCCCTGCACCAAACAGCCGGTGTCAGGACACTGAAACGCCAGCTCTGGCCCTGTGGAGTATCACCCTGCTGAAGGCTCTGCTGCGGTTCTGGATATACCAACACAGCATCTGTTGTGCAGGGGAGCCTGCACAGTTTGCTCTCAGGGAAGGACAAAGGACAGTCACGCTCCCGTCAGCCACGTGCCCTTGGCCAGGAAGCCGGACCCCAGAGCTGACACTCAGGGTGGGTTTCCTGGGTGCTGTGCCAAGGTGGACACGTTGCCAAGCCACACCTACCTGTTGTGTTTTTCTGAGGACGCCTCTGAACTCTGACCTCTGCAACGGCAGCGATGAGAGAGCTGTTTCCATCACGCTTGCTGACGAGATCAATGATCTTGTCCGTGATCTCCTTGATGGGGTTCCCATCATCACGGATGTCTTCAGCGGACTGGCAAGAGGAAAACCAGTCAGTCTTCAGCATCAGGAGCACATCATGGTCGCTTTCATTCAAAATTCCTTGATAAGCCATCTACACAACGCTCCCCCTCATCCACCCGCTTCAGTGTATTTGGCTCCATTTTGATAGTTACTAGCTACCTTGCAATCAAGTAATTCAGTACCAGTGGGATCTTATACTCACAATGGCCACGTGAATTTCATTGTTGGCCAGCGGGGAAGGCTCACAGGCTATGTAGATTGAATATTCAGCAGATACATTCTTCAAAATATTCAGATTCCTCAGTTCACTGCAGATGTGCTCCGTGGTGAGTCCCTGCAACAATGTGTAAAAACCCACATACATAAGACACAGAAAGAAAGCAAAAACGCTGATGTTTGGAAGGCGGGCGGACTAATAAACCCAACCCTCAGTTTACAGGAGTTTAGGCTAAGGAAAAGTAGGTCCCAACTTGCGAGATCCTTCCTCTTCTAAAACCAGATACACTCAGTCATTCCCAACTTCTAAAGAGGTGTTACGTACCGGTGACATCATCTCCTTGTTAAAGGTAAAGGTGATGTTGGCACAGTTATCCTGGTAATAGGAGTCGGAGGTACACTTGGTCTTGACCGGCTGCAGCCCAGATGAGCGACACTCACCCACCCCGGTACAGGGGCGGACGAAGCACTGGTCATCCAAGATGGGGATGCAGCTCTGCCCACTGGGGCACTCGCTGTGCCCCTTGTGGAGCAGGCAAGGTCGAGGGCCACACCAAACCTAAAGAGAGAACAGGAGCCGGCAGCTTAGCAGGAACGCCCCAGCCCCAGAACCCCAGGACACAGACGAAGCACAGCTCCCCTTGCTCCCTACCTTGGAGCAGGCAATCCGTCCGTTCAGGCACTGGCAGGTGTTACAGTCGTCATCCCATTTGGCCCCATCTGGTATCATACTCCCCATGGTGATGCAAGGCCTTCCTGAAACTGACAGGTGGTGGAGATGCTAAGGGGAAGGAACATGCCTCTCTCCACGGATCTGACCGGGGCAGGTCCTCATATGGCCGTGACACCTGTGCCTTGTGCTAGGCACCGACACTTCTGTTACGACAGGCATGGAGGTTCCCTGCTGCCCTCCAGCCCTGCACAATGGCCCAGGTGACCTGCTTGGGCTTCCACAATAGCAACAGATGGGACCAGAGACCCTTCATGGCCAAGCTTTCAGGGGTGAGCCTGGCCCTTTGCCAGGATGGGACAGTTGCTGGGCAACTGCCCCAACCCGCAGCACCATCTCACTCTGCCAGCCGACACACAACACAGCAGCACAAATGTGCCTGCCACAAACCACGGGGTGTCGGCATTGTTACACAGCACTCGTGTGGACAGTCAGAACGCTGACTGTGGGGCTCTGCTCGCCCCAGACAGGCACACTCACCTTCCTGGCACTTAGCACCACTGTGCCCCGGGGGGCAGACACAGCGGTAGCCATTGATCTCATCCACACAGGTTGCCCCGAAGGCACAGGGTGAAGACTGGCATTCGTTGATGTCTAGGAAAAAAACGAAATTCTCTTTTAGGTTCCCACTGTGGACAGGCAGTGTTTGCTTCTGGGTTATCTAGTGACCCTACAGACAGAACGGCATCCCCACCGCAAGTTAAAGCTAAGTGAGCTTTCACTTACATGGCCTGCACCTGAACAGTCAGATCTGCAGCTCCGCCCTCCCTCTCCCAGGACAACCGAGGGCAAAATACTTTAAGATTTTGCATGGCATAAGGTCTCTGTTGTGACATTATGAAGTAGCCACAGAGCATATGTAAACGAAGGGGTCTGGCTGTATGCCAATGAAACTTTACTTATATAACAACAAGGCTGTGGGCCAGAGGTGGCCCCCAGGCCATTCTTTGCCAGCCCCCGACTCAGAAACACAAAACACACAACCTCAACCCAACTGCTGCTGAAATTTAGCTCCAAAAAAACAGACAGTTCAGGGAGAGGGAGTGGTAAGAGAGAGGACTTGTAGAAGGAAAAGAAGGTGGAGCTTCCTGAAAACCGACCCTGCCTGCCACTTGATTCTTAGTCACTTTTTTCACAGCCTGTTCAAAGCCACTGCAGAGCAAACTGCAGAAGCCCTAGTTCCAGACTCTTCCATCGGCCCCAGCTCCAACCAACAGCTGCGGCCACCGTCCTCCGTCCCCGTTAGCCGCAAGCAAAGCCCAGCGCCCTCCTTGGGGCTTCAGTGTGTGCCTGGTCGTCAGATCCTGTGACTGGCACTGTATTTCCCCTAAGATCTAGGGTGCTATGTCTCCCCCAGGGACCCAAATCCTAGCTAGAAGTGGTACATCACTAGCTTTGTCAGGGATCCTAAAAAGGAAGGACATGGCTCTAATGGTTTTCAAGAACAGCAGCCTGGGGCTGAGGAGTCCAGGGACAAACAGCAATTGGGGTGGGCAGGAGGAGCGCGCGCACACACACACACACACACACACACACACACACACACACACAGAGTTGGTCCTTACTTATTCTGCAGTCAGGCCCCGCAAAACCCGGGGCACACTCGCACCGGTACCAGTTGTCTCCATCCACGCAGGTGCCACTGTTATAACTAAGAGGGAAAACAAACAAAGAAAATATCCCCTTGGTTACCAACCAACTGCCCGGCACAATCATGGGTGACTATGTGACTTAGAATCAGTAGCTCTCAACCCCGACCTTCCTGAGGAGTTTAAAAAAAGAAAAAATATATACACACACACACATTTATATATACTGATGTTTGGGTCCCTGCCCTGAAGAGTCTAATTTCCTAGGTGTCTCGCTTGCAGCCTAGGCCCTGGGACTTCTAGGAGCTCCCCAGGGGACTCCCAGGTGCAGCCAAGGTGGAGAAGCGCTGCTCTAAATGAGGGCGCAACCTGGCTGATTCCAGTGTGCTGCACAGAGCAGCAGGCTCGGCAGCCCTCCGGGGAGCTTGTTAGAAGGGCACAGCCTGGGGCCCCGCCCAAGACCTCCCGACCTGCGTTCAACACAAAGATTCCCACACAGGCCGGCACACTCACCAGGGATGAGGACTGCAGTCATTGGTATCTGCAAAGGAAAAGACAACCCAAGTGTGAGGCTTTCAACAGGGAGAGGCAGTCTGGACCTTAAGGGAAAGCATCATTTAGTTCTCCAATAACCACATTATAAAGTCACAGTAGTTAACACCAAGAAACTACGGTGGGCAACCTCTGCTAAATTGGAACCAGGCCTGCAGCATTCCCGGTTTCATTTGCCGTGGGACACAGGACGCAGGAAGAGGCCCCGGGAGGGGACAGGCATGGTGGGGGGAGCAGGCGAGGAGACGGGCTGCTGTTCAGCCGCGGGAGCTGGGAACAAGACACCATCTGTCTCCACTTATCTCACTGGCGACTTTCTCATGCCCAGGTCAGCACTGCGTCCCATCAAGTCATTAATACAGACCCAGGTGATACAAAAGCAGACATCAAACAGCTCTGCTTCTGGTTTCGATTGCGAGCCAGTCCCTAGGGGTGTCAGACTACTCTGCAGCAGCCCTGGGAGAGTTCCAAGGGCGGGGGCGGGGGGTAGGGGGAAGACACTCACTCTGGGTACAGATGGGCCCCTCCCAGCCTTCTTTGCACACACAGGTGAAGGACTCGCCGTTGACCACGCAGGTGCCCCCATTATGGCAGGGGTTGGGCAAACAGCTACTATTCCGGGCTATAAGACAAGAGCAGACAAGACCACCCTCACTTTCTGAGAATGCACCCGCAGCCTGAGGAGCCAAGAAGCCTACCAGGCAACTCGCCCACAGATTCCACGAGCCCATCAACCGACCTGTTCCCATGGCCACACCCACAGCAGGTCCCACGTGGTGGGGCTGACAGCTTACCTATGTTACAGGTGGCTCCTTCCCAACCTCCGGGACACATGCACTTAAAGGCGTCGCCCTCGTCATAGCAGGTGCCACCATTGTTGCACGTGGCCTCGTCACACTGGCTGTCACCTGGAGGAGAAACATCTCAACATGAACATTCAGTCTGGCCTCTCACAGAAGGCAGACAGCCATTGGGTGGCGGGGTAGGGGCGAGGGGGGAGAGCTGCCACTTACGTGAGTGACAGGTCTTTCCTTTCCACCCATTCTTGCAGTCACAGTAGAAGTCGTTGACCAGGTCTCGGCATGTGCCCCCATTGTGGCAGGGGTTTTGGCTGCAGTCATTGATATCTGGAAGCGACAAACCAGGAGACACTCGGCTGAAGACGATTCCAGGACCATTTGTGGCATACCCAGCCTCTCCCTCACCACTGCCCACATCCAAGGGACAGCTGAGCAGCCCCAGGACTCTGACCCTATTATCCGCTTTTCTAGGAATAAAAGCACTTTCAACTGGGGGTCACAGTGAGTGCCATAATTCAGGCCAGGTGGAGGTAGTGGGGGCAGGTGTCTGAAACCCCCAATGACAAACTCAACATGCCCAGATCTCAGAATCAACCGAGTGCCTCCTTTCTAAGCAGGATCTGCATCATCGTAACTGCACAGTCCCCAGCACAAGGCCCTCCCTGTGGGCTGCCATCCGCATTCATAGACGCCAGCAGGACGAGAGTGAGGCAGCCCACGGCAGACACCACCAGGGTCCTACTGAAAACAACGGCTCGCCCAGGTAGAGTGGGAGTTCCTCACATGCCCCGTTCCCAGGAGAACCACACACTCACTGGCTTCACAATGGGTGCCCTCCCAGCCGTCGCTGCAGATGCACTTGTAGGAATTGACACCGTCGATGCAAGTGCCACCATTCTTACAGGGGTTGCTCTCGCAGTCATTAATATCTGGAGAAGGAAGAAAGACAAACTGAGGGGCAGAAGGACAAGCCGTGATGCAGCCAAGCCCCCCCCATGCATTCTAGTGCTTTCCCCGCTGCCTCCTGAGGAGATGCACCCGACATCTTGATGTGCACCGTTTCCCTGAAACAGGTCAGAAGCCTCCAGCACCTGCCACCCCACACGCACCTGCTGGTGGTGTTAGGGCCTCAGCTCACTTAGCTACTACCCAGCGGGCCCAGGGGAGACACTTCTACAGAAAAGAGGAAGCAGCCACACTTAGAGGATTCCAGAACACCGCAAAACAGGCACGGCAGCCAAGCGTGATCTGGTAGACGGAACACAACCTCAGTCTCAGACCCCAGATGCAATGAGATGCCTTAGCTAGTGTCCCTCATCCAGTGCCCCCCTCCGTCCTCGGTAACTGGGGGCTTACTTTCGTGGCAGTACGTGCCCGTGAAGCCTTTGTTACAGTCACAGGTGAATTTGCCCCCCGACTGGCTCTTGCACTTCCCGTGGGGACCACAGACGTTCGAGGAGATGTACCGCACCCCTTCAGGCGTGTCGTTGGATGCCATGGCCACCGTGCAGCTGTCAATCACTGGAAGACAGGTGGAGGACGAGATCATAGCTGAGGACCCCCCTCGCCTCCAAGCCAAGCCCACTTCCAAAGCTGGGCGGGGGTGATGGAGAGGCACTCAGCAGGGCAGGTGAAGGGCAGGGCTCTGTCAGTTTGTGTGGCACAGTGCCAAAGTAAAAAAAACAAAACAGAAAAACTGTTCTCCCTGTGTAGGTGAGAGCTCCTGTCATCCCACCTTTAAAGTAAAAACAAAAAAAAACTGAGGGCCCAGCACAATGGCTCAACTGGCTATCCTCCACCTCCAAGTGCCAGCATCCCATATGGGTGCTGGTTTGCATCCCAGCTACTCCACTTCCCATCCAGCTTCCTGCCTATGGCCTGAGAAAGCAGCAAAGGATGGCCTGAGAAAGCCTTGGGCCCTGCACCCATGTGGGAGACTCAGGATGTCCCGGCTCCTGTGGGGAGTGAACCAGCAGATGCACGCCTCTCCCTCTCTGTAAAGCCATCTTTCCAATAAAAATTAAAACACACACTCGGCTTCTTCCCTTTCCTTACTCTCACTTGAGCCAAGACCAGTCTGCAGAAGGCTTGAACGGCCATGCCATCTACTGCAGCAGCCGTGGGCTACACGTGGCCACTGGCCTCGAAATGCACTAACTTACAGCTCCTAATGACACTAGCCACCTTCAAAGGCCCAGTGGCCACCATGGCCATGGCTCCCATACCTGATGACACAACTGTGGAATACCTCCTACTGCTGCCCAAGGTTCCCACAGACAGTGGGGGACTTGCCTAGCAGCCCACCCCCAAGAACAACAGCCAGACCCGGATTTACATTCTCTCCCCGGGGCTACTGTGACACAGGCTCCTCCCACTGGTGGGATAATGAGAGGGTTCCTAGGCCTTCCTCCCTTGCCTTAACAGGCAGATAAAGTCCATTTCCATCTGTCAGTCTCCTTAGCACTAAAGACTTCCTGGCAATCCCAAGGGTAGATGGCAAAAGGTGGTGAAGGTGGCAGGGCGGCAGTCCAGGAAAAGCCGGCTTTCAGGGGCCAGTGGGTACCTTCACAAGGGGTCGTGCGGCAGTGGTCTTTGAGATGTGAACAGTTCTTGCCCTCATAGTCCTCGGGGCACTTGCAGAAGTAGTCGCTGGCACGGTTGTAGCACTGGGCACCATTCTGGCAGGGATTGGGCTCGCAGTAATCAATGTCAAGCTGCAGAGCAGGGAAGCAGGGGCAGCCCCCAAAAAAGAAATAAAATCAGAATAAATAAGAGTGTCCTGGCAACTTTTCTGGGGTGGTGGAGGCTGGGAATCGATCTTCCTTCTGTTTCTACAGCCTGTGTAACTGCACCTTTCCATCCTAGGTCCAGGTATGCATTTTAAGAGCAGCAGAGTCGAGAGGGTGCAGGCTGAACCCGGGGCACAATGGAAATGGAACACCGGCTGAATCGCCGGGCTACGGGCATTGAGCCCTTCGCCAGTCTGCTCCTAGCTAGCATCTATCTAGACGTCACGAGACCCCGGTCATGGCAGCCAACAGTGAGGCATGGAGGAAGAGGGTAGGGCGGTACAAGTTTGCCCCTTCGGGGTTCTGTCCACGCTCACCTGGCAGAGGCTCCCAGAGAAACCAGTGGGACAGAGACACTGGAATCGGTTGATTTCATCCTGACAGTGACCCCCATTCAAACAGGGGTTGCTGGCGCATTCGTCAATGTCCCTCTCACAGTGGGTGCCTGCATAGCCAGGTGGACAGATACAGCGGTAACCGTTAACCAGATCCTGGAAGAGCAGAAGGGGGAGGGGAAAACACGTGTCACTTTCATTTTCTGTGTTCCAGCCACGGGCTTTCCTGCGGTCTCAGCTGAAGCACTGACACTGCCAGATGCCACGCCCTGGGAGGCGGGAACCCCAGCCCAAAGGAAGCATGCCGGGACTCGCTCTCCACCTGCGTGTCTAGATCTCCCAGCAGCCCAGCGAGCCTTCGAGATTCGCTGTCAATTCTCAAAGCTTTGATTCACACCAAAGGTTTACGTACCCGACAGGCGGCGTCATTCTGACACTGGCCGAGGCAGTCGTTAATATCTGCAAACAGAAGACAGAAGTCATCACGCTAAAGAGGCCAGTGACTTGGAAATTGGCCTTCACGCTTTGGAAAAGCCCTCTCAACTCGGGATAAAAGCTTCCCATCAGGTCTCCTCGCCGCCCTCCCTGCCTCCTGTGAGGCGAGGTCACTGTTACACTGGGCGGAGACTCGGGAGTGAAATCTGACATCCTCATTCCGGCCACCTTGTCAGAACATGGCCCATTCAGCTGCTACGGAGTCCCATCAAGTATTAGGCCTGCCCGGCTGCACGGACCGCTGCCTCTCCAGGAACATGCCTGTTTGCAAGTTTTGCTCCAGAGGCACAAGGCCAAGGAGTGGAGCAGGGGCAGGGACTGGTTAGAACCTTCAGCACCCAAGTGCCAGGGGGTGAGGGGAAACCAAGTCACTCACTTATGTCACAGTTCTGACCCATCCAGCCTGGGAGGCAATCGCAGTAGTAGCTGGCAATCAGATTCTTACAGGATTTGGCGTTGACACAAGGCTTGGCCTCACACTCATTTGCATCTGAAAGGCAACGAGGAAGACCACTGAGACCGAGCCCTCTCCCCACCCTCTTGGAAAGAAACCAACACAGAACTGGTATGAAATCGGAGATGCTTTAATAAAGCAGCAGCACAGGAAAAGGTACCAGGATCCCTTTCTCTACCATGACCAGCTGAGCCCTCCCCTCTCTCCCTTGCCATTATCCAATCGGGAGCACTAACTGATCGCTTCCCAGCTGCTGGTGAGCCACCGGCCCCCAGCCAGAACAGCAGAGAGCCACCCGGCACTGCTGTGCAAAACCTAGTTGCTGGGATTGAACTGTGGCAAAAAGAATGCAGACAGCTCCTTCCTTATGAGATCATCCCGCTGGAACCCAGCTCAACACTTGTGGACAGCCGATTGACATGGTTCAGGGAATCCCACGACTTTCCCACAGGGCCGCAAACAGCCAAGTCCATTTGCATGCAAGTTATTTCTCCCAGGCCCGCTAGGAGCTAGATAATAAATTGCTCTGTAGTATCATGTGGTGCAGATACACCGCTGGCCTCATGCCCCTCCTTCCCATCACCGCTGATGGCCGTGGCCACCCCAAGCACAGGGATGACAGGCACTGAGAATTTTCTTACCTAACTGGCACGTCTTGCCAGTCCACTGGGGAGGGCACACGCACTTAAATCCATTCACCAAGTCCAGGCAGGTGCCCCCGTGGGAACAATTATTTGGAGAACAGTCATCAATATCTGTTCAACAAAAGGCAGGGAAGAGTTGACAGTTTCACATCAACCCAGTGGACAAATGAAAGGATGCAACCCCACCCACTCACACGCACAGCCTCTACGTAGGCGTCAGACACCTGCTCCGAGCAAAGCTACGGCAGGACAAGTGGGACGGAGAAGCCTTGATTTCAGCTTTAAATCCCCCACTGTCCCAGTTCATTTAATCCCCGGTAAGAAGGTGCAGACAGACAGCTGGATACCCACAGCACTGGTAACACAGGACATTCCTGTCTGCCTCGTCTTTGTGTTGAAAGCAGAATCCAGAGGGAAGGGGGAAAAAACTGCCCCCTACCCCGTCACTGCACTACAGACGGGTCTTCATTCCTTCACGAGGCAGGTGTACCACGCACATCGAGCACTCATTCCCCAAGTTGCTATTAAGAACTCTGGAAGATGGCAATGGCTATCATTCACTGCCACAGGAACGGGGGGAGGCGACATGTCGCCTCAGGAGCCCGGGTGATCCCTGACCGTGCCATGTGCCACTCTGAGGATAGTGATGGCAGCAATTTTCAAGCCCCCATCCCCCTATTCTGGAGGGAATACCACAGACCCCAGAGCTGCACTGTAGGGCATCTCAACAGTTCAGACACAACGGACCCGGCTCAGAGCCCCAGGGAGCACAGCATCCCGGGCCCCTTCCTAACACACCCTCACCCGCCAAGGCCATGGGGGGAGCAATCCTAACACAGCTCTGGGAAGCACATGCCCCGATCTAGCCCAAGAGTTGCCTGCAAGCATACACATACGCTAACTTCAAAGATGGGCACAGGAGTGCCAGGAGACTGCACCCTCTCCTCCTCATCTCCAGCAGATAAACCTCTAGGATGGCAGTATGTTACCCAGACCCTCCACCTGCACACAGACTCCCCCAGAATGGACAGCAGCCCAACCCCAGACTTACTTGTGGAACACGTGGGGCCAGTCCAGCCCGGAGCACACTCACACTCAAACCCCAGGGCAGTCTCCCTGCAGCTGCCTCGGTTGTGGCAGGGATCCGAGAGGCACGCGTGTTCTGCTGTAAAAACCAAGGCGGTCACGATGACGGGGAGCCCACCGCTACGGCTCCACCCTCTTCCCCCAACCCCACAACGGAATCCCACGCACGTTTCCAGAAATGAAAACAAGAGTGTGACATAATCCTGCTGTATCCAGCAAGGCCTCTTTCCTGTTACACTGGCTCCAGCCACACACATTCCAGGGCATCTTGGGTCTGGGGTAGCCGAACCTCAACATCTCCTATGTTAATCAGGATCACCACAGCACCCACTAAAAACATTCCACTTTGAGGACTTGAAGGAGGCTCCAAACACCCATGGGAAGACTGAGCTCATGGGTCGTAACTTTGCACACAACTCTCACCTTATGTACAAGCAAACCTACAGAAAAATCCAGCAGAGCCTGGGCCACTTACCAATTTCACAGTTGGGTCCGGAATAGCCCTCGGGGCAGGAACACTGGTATTTGTCAGGCCCGGTATTGCTACAGGTCCCCCCATTCAGACATGGCTGATGGGTCCCACAGTAATTGAGATCTGCCACAAAGATGCCAAAGTCACAACCAGGAAACTGTTTCCAGTTTCCAGAACCCTTCATGGGTCTAGCCTCACGCCCATTAAAAAAAAACCTAAAATTTCAGGCATATTCAAGTACAGAGTTAAATACACACAAATCAAAATAAAGCCAGAAGCCCCAGACGTTCTCCCCGATGGGCATACCTTTGTCACAGAGCTGGCCACCCCAGTTGGTCTCACAGAGGCACTGCCAGGGTTCGTTGCAGGTGCCATGGACACATCCCGGGTGGGGGATACACTTGTCACAGTACAGGCCCTGCCAGCCATATTGGCACCTGCAACAAAACACACACACATATACCCATTCAGGCTTTCAGTATTTTTAAAGATTCGCTGAATTATTTGAAAGAGTGATGGCGAGACTAGAGAGAGGCAGAGAATGAGAGCGAAATCTGCCATCCATTGGTTCATCCTGCAAAGACCCGCTGCACAAGGCCACGCTGAAGTCAGGTGCCCAGGGCTCTATCTGGGTCTCCCCATGTGGGGAGCAGGAACCCAAAAAGACACTGCCTCCCAGGCACTGAAGTGGGAAGCTGTCAGAAGCATGGAGCCATCAGAACTTGAACCTAGAACTGCACCTTGCCTCCCAGCCTCTTGAATCAACAACTGCCGTGGTGAGGCCTTTGCTGCTGTTGGGACAGGATGGTACACTTTAAGGCTTGTCAGAGGACTCCTTATAAACAAACATTTTCTCAGTGGGGCTGAGGTCTCCTTCCCAGCCGTAGTTCTGACAAAAGGGGGGTTGTCTGGGGAGAGGCCCGTGTGGGGACACCCTTCATAAAGCCACTCTCTCTCTCTCTCCTCAGATGAGCTGCTGGTGGGGAGAGGGAAGAAGGCATGGGATAAATCAATGCAGGACCTGGTCAGGACAGACCACAGAAGCAAAAGACTCCGATGACAACAAAAGCTAGACAAAGTCTGCTGCGAATGCTGCAACTTGCAACCACACTGAGCTCTTTGTCTACACAGCAAGTTGTGACCCCAGCTCAGGGAAATGTGACAGGACACGGAGCATGGCAGGACCCCACCTTGCAGGAGAGTGGGGTGAGGACGGGGCATCCTCTTTGGGGTAGACCCTGGCGGTATCCTCAGTCCCACCTTCCCAGGGTGGCACACGGAAGCAACAGCACGGGCAGTCAATTCCATAGATAAGTTATGGCCCATTCCCGTGGCTGCCTCAGCCAAGTTTATTTTTCATTTTGCAGGAAAAAAAAAAAAATACTGAGATTATCTAGTATTAGGGGAGCATCGAGGTTCCTTTGTAAGCACCTTGGTTCATCAGACTCTTTCAAGATGGTGTCTGATCCCCAAACAAAAACACAAATATAAACCCTTACCTGGGTGGGAGAAGGGGCAGGGTCTCAACCACTCTCGTGTTTCAAGCCTTCTGAAACCCTAACAGCCTAAAAACCATGCTTTTCCAAAAGGGTGTAAGGAGAGCTTGCAATGGAGGGGCACCAAGCAGCCTGCTGCTGGCATGAAGGTGGTGCTGGGGGCGGGGGGAGGGAGGGTGTCCAAGTGGGATGGGCTAAGTATTTCCACACTGGGACCTGGGAAAAGCTACAGTCAGAACCGGCTGCCCCCGGAAGCTGCTCGGCTCTAACTTTGGAAAACAAATGCCAGTGCCCGCCTCCCCCCCAATCCACTCCCAGAAGGCACAGCTTCCAGTTTCCAGAAAGCTGCAGCCAGCAAATCCTTGTCATGGGGAAATTATAGGGAGTTAGCTAATAGCTAATCAGCCATGGCCGCGAAGCAACTTAACCCCTGAGAACGACGACTAATCGCTTCCTACCTTCTAAAAACAAGCCCTCCCCACCGACCCCAAACATAAGAACCACGAGAAAGTGTGATTGAAAAGCAATCAGATGCAGTAGTCTGGCTTGTATAAAACAGAACATCAGGCTAAATGACATAAAGGAGCAAAATGAATATAACTCATGTGGCAGGAAGGAGTTTTTGGAAAGCAGACAGCCCAGTGAGTGGGTGAGGTGAGGACCCGGGTCTTAGTACCCTGCAGGTTGACACTTAGCCTTGAAGACAGCAAGAGGGAAATGATGGGGAAACATCAGTATCCTTGCTGCCTTTCCCATCTTTCCCAGCTCAGGGATCTCTACAACTCTGTTCTAATAAAAGCAAGGGAGGCAGCCAAGGACCCAAGCTCACCTCTTAATTAACAGGCGCTCAATCCCCGAGCACGAAAAAGCAACCGCAAGAGGCTACAGATGACTTCAAAAGAAAACAAATAAAAAAAGACTGACCCTAAAGAGAGGCATCCACCAAGTTATCCCAGCTTAATAATATATGATTAAGATTCTCATGAGAAATTGAAGCAACTTTCCTCATGTGATGATTCATAATTAAGTTAGCTCTCACTGGTCAAGCAAGTACTAAAGTCAGCGTGTGTACCCAGGAATAGGAAACACCACCCGCCCCCACGTCCACCTGGGAACCAAAAAACCAGGGGCACTTTTCTCATGGTGGGGTGTAAGGAAAACAAACAGTCATGTAATACATAATCCAAAAGACAACTGACAAGGCGCTTGCTATTGAGCCATCCCTGGAGCAGGACACAAACCACACTTCCTTAGCTGGAAGGTTCTGTTTTGCTTTTCTTGCAAGGGAGGGAGAGAAAGGTAGTCGGGTTGAGAATCTATGCAAATGGTGTGTGGGAAAATGGCACCTTAAGTAAACAAAGGCACCCAGCATGTCTGGGCAGGGAGTGGGAGGGGAGACTTCGAAAGAGAAAGGGCTAAACTTGGGAGACAAAGCCTGTTGTTCTGGCTGGGAGGGCCCTCCCCGCGCAGCCGCAGCCGCAGCCCCAGCCGGGTGCTGGTTCTGATGACAGTAGCACAAATCGCAGCCTCCGCTGATCCTCATCTGAGCGGGTAGCAGTCACTAATAGCACGGCCGAGATGACTTTCTCCAGAACACCTCTTAATTAGCATGGCTGAACGTAGGTGGATTCTTTCCTCATATCTGACAGCAGAGCTGCTCAACTGCTACGTATGGATAGCCACCTGCCACGAGTGGAGCGGTGGGTAGCTTCTGCAGGAGCCGCCGCCCTCTGTGATGCCTCCCCAAAGACAAAGCCATGCAACGCAGAAGAGTCCATTTCAGCAGCACCTGTTCCTAGTTCTACCTCCAGCTGCCTCCAACTTGTGCTGTGAGTTCAGGGTCCCCTGCTGCATGGCAGGGGAACAGGTGGACTGCTGGGACCCTCAAGGTCTAGACTATGGAGAAATTCTGCTCAAGAGAGCAGCCATCAACACTGACTACACATCGGAGTCATGGGGCAAACCTGTCGAATGAAGATTCCTGTGCCAAGCCAAGGGGCTGGGAAGCCACGCATTAGGGAAAACCAGGAACCTGCATTCCAACAATTCCCACAGCTCATTTTGGGAATCCCGAGCTGGGAGTCGGGGGGTGAGGGGCTGCAGTTCCTCCTAGCAGCAGCAGCATCCCGTGGGCCCTCCCAGGTTTGTGGAACCAGGATGCGCGTCCCAGGCGAGAGCCCCAGATGCAGTCCTCCACCAGAGTACCCTTGGTTGCACTCTGCTGCCTGAGCTGCTAAAGCTCTGGACAGAGTAGCTTTGGGGGCACTGGTGGCAGGCCCCAAGGATCCAATCAGTGTCACATTCAACCTGCTAATCCTTCTAACTTGGGAGTGGGGCGTGCGAGGCCACAGACAATACCAGTGTTTCCTGGCACAATGTATGTTCCAAGACATGTCCTTCCCCCTTCCCCGGTACGGAATCAGCACGCCTTCAGGGTAGGGTGGCCCGGCTGGCTTCGGCATTGTTCCTGGACCATAAAAGAACCAACTTCAAAGGCCAGCAGCAAAAGTCTACATTCATCAGGCTCAAATGAAGGGATTCCAGCACCATTAACCTCTCAGCACTGGCCCAAGCTCCCGCCTGCACGGGGGCCAGGAGATGGGACTAATCCCATTCTAAAGAATGCTGGACTTTTGCCTACAGATGGGAAAAGTGGGGGGTAGGGCAAGCAGAGGAAGCTCCAGGGAGGAGGATGAGGAAGAGAGGGGCCCGGGAACAAACCCACATCCCTCCACTCTCGTCCATTAGCACTTTAAGGGCAGATTATGAACGTGTGTTATCAATTTACAGAACAGTTAATACATGAAGTCACCAGCCACGCCCACCATGGTTTCCTTTTTTCCCCCCTCAAGAGAGAAGTAGTGTGTGCATTCCACTGGACAGCTGGTATAATTTAATAAGCTTCGGATGTGCCTATGTGATTTTTTATAAAGCTTTCCTGTCCTCCAATGGGAGAAAAAAAAAAAAAGAAAAAAGGCATGTTCACAAGAAAGTTCGCCGTTGCCTTTCACACGAAAAAACACACAGAACAGAACCCCACAACAGATCAGTCAAGCTGTTTACCTGCAATCACCTGGCAGTTTGCAAGACCCGTGCTTGGGACTACAGCCCTGGCGACAGATAGCTGCAAGAGATCAGAGAAGAAGGTCAGCACGCACACTGCCACGGGCATGACAATGGTCAAGGACACGAAGCCTACAGAATCCGTGACGCTACAAGGTCTCAGGGGAACCCCACTGGAAGAGGAGGAAGACGAGAGAAGCCCAAGTAACAAATCCAGCTTTCAATCGCAAGGCCATCCCACCAGATCCTCCAAACACCCAGCCGGCCGTGACAAAATTCAGGGAGCTGGCGGAGAGGCAGGGAACCCTTCATCTCAGCTTACGCAGCAGCTTCCTCCTTTTGGGGCCCTGCATGGCCAATTCCTGTCTTGCCTATATCCATCTTCATCAGAAAGAAAAAAAACCGACTCCTTTCTCAGCCCACCCATTCTGTCCATCAGGGTGTGGTCAGATGAGCCCCAGGCCCCCTAAACCCTCTACCAAATGTCTGGCTTCGAAACGTCTCCTGGGACCCACGGCGCTTTCACATGTGGCCTCACGTGGCACACTGGCCTGGTGGCATTTTCTCCCCGCCGCCCCAGCAGCTATTTTCTTCACATTAAAAAAAATAGTAAATTGAACTGATGTCTCCAAAAATGTACTAAAACAGAGTTTAAATGACCGTTAAAAGAGTTTGTAAAATACGAACTATTTAAAATATGTCAAGCAATCCCTTTTTTCACATGAATTCCAGAAATGCCACCCTTTTTAAACCCTCGTCTCTGGTTATTTAAGAAAGCAGCATTGCCCAGGAGACCTGCTCATCATTCCTTGCCCCACCCTAAGTCCCTTGGTCAGAGCTCAAAAAATTCAAGAAGGAATTTACACAGTTATCATGCAAAATAGGCAGAGCCTGTAACTCATGAGGATACAGTGTATGGTTAACTAGAACCACCAAATTTTAGAAGGGGTGCAGCTAGCAACCCACCCAGGACTTCAGAAGCTTCTACTCCTTCGGCGGTGGGAAGGTGTGGGGGGGAGAAGGCGCTCAATTCAACAGAAGTTTGAAGGGACAGGTGAGTTTCTCAACTCCATGACCTCCAAAGACATCTAGAAGTTTCCAAGACGACCCTGAGCTGAGGGCGATTATCATTCCCAACCTGTAGGGTTATCTGCTCAGACATCATTAGGCTCAGCCAGTCCCACCACCTTCCCAAAGAGGGAATGCTCAGGGCAAAGGGATGGAAGGAGGCAGATGGGGTGGAGGGAGGAGCAGAGAGCTGAGCAAAGAGGTGGCCCCAGCTGGAGCCAGCCTGCTGCCTGCTCCCAGGGGAAGCACTGGAGTGTGAATTGTACCACAGCGGTAAGGACCGAGGGCCGGCCTTTGTAGTCCTCCTGTCAGTCACTGCCGGACTGTGAGTAGAGGGAGGGATGCTGGGCCAAGGACACCCCTCTGGGAAAGGAGCAGCTGTAAGTTGCGCGGAGCCAAGGCTCTCAGCAGCTGGGAAGCAGGAGCACCCCAGCAGCTCTGCAGAAGATGGAACCCAAAGGCAAGTGTCCCTGAAGGCAAAGAAGCTTTGAAGTCCATACAATTTTTTCACAATACACATCTTCCCTGAACTTTTTCCATGGTTTTCAAAATTCATGTGCAGCTAATAAACTTATCCCTTTGTCCTACAAGCTCACACATTTGGCATCTGGACACGTCGGGAACTGCATGAACAGCCCCAAGTCCCACGCTGTCTGAGCAGCGGCACGCCACCCGACTACTGCCAGGGCGAGAGTGGGATCGAGGCTCACGCACCTCTGTTGCACTCGGGGCCCATCCAGCCTTCCATGCATGTCTTGTTGCCATTCTGGTCACAGGCATAGTGGCCGAAGAAGTCATCTCTGGGCCGGCAGAATTTGTTGCAGCCGAAGCCATAGTAGTAGTCGTCGCAGGTCACGCGGATCTGGTACTCGAAGTGGGCCACCCCCGTGTTCTGCTTGAGCGTCTGCCACTGCCGGCTGGGATTTATCATGCCTGAGTGAGAGGCCTTCTCGATGATGCTGTCCGGTTCTGGAGGGAGAAGAGGAAGAATCATACTCACAATCCCAAAGCCTCCCGTACAGACCTCGCTGGCTATGCTCACAAAAATATAAATCATGTGCATGGTGCAGAATGCAAACAGTTACACAAGACACTGGAAAATGAAAGGCTTCCACCCTTCCACAGCTGTCGACTCTCCAATGCAGTCACAGTACATCGTCCAGGAGCACCTTTAAATAACTTACCTAGTGCCAAAACTATGAGGTTTTGCCTTTTTAAAATGCATTTCTGTGAAAGAGTTACAGAAAGAGGAGAGAGATCTTTCATCCATCAGTTTACTCTCCAAATGGCCAGCACTGTGCCAGATCAGAGCCAAGACCCTGGAGCTTCTTCTGGGTCTCCCACGTGTGTGCAGGGACCCAAGGACTTGAGACATTCTCTGCTCTTTTCTCAGGCCATAAACAGGGAGCTGGATAAGAAGTGGAAATCAAGCTGGCTCGCATATGGGACGCTGGTACTCAAACTACTAACAGCAACCAGTCCTATCTAGATTGGTTATTAAACAAAATCACGGCAAGCATCTGCATGCGGCACCAGCACTGGGAAGTATCCTACAGATGAAACAGGAGGAGTGCCACCCATCCACTGGGTACCCGAGCACCCCACAGGTGCTCTCCCAGGAAGCCCGGTCAGCCTGCCCTTCCATGGCACAGGAAACTTGACTTCCAACAGCCCCACCATCAGGGCCCATTATCACTTTCTGATCTCTCCCTGATAGGTAAACAAAGATCATTTAATTTAATTAGCATTTAATTAAGCGATGGGGAACACCCTCTCAGGTACTTAGCACACCAGGTGCAAGTGTTCCTGTATCCTGCCACTTGCTCCTCTCCTTTTGGCAACCTTCCTGCAACCTTGTTCGCCATCCCGACCTGCACCAACTCTTCACCTATCACACAAGGTCGCATGCAAGCCCAGACAAAGGTCAACAGCCGGTCTCTCTTCACCCTCAGATGTCTGTTTTTGTGGTATCAGTTGAATTCAAGAAGTGGACTCAGTAACATTTTTAAAAACTGCTAGTATCCTTTCAAGTTGGGATTTCCATAGCAACACCACAAACCTAATTTTCTTCATCTTTGCCCACTACCTAAAATCCAAATGGGAGAGACTAACTCACCCCTGTTAAAGACCTACCCTCTTTTTGGTTTTGAGGTGTCGGTTTTTTGTATTTTGTGGGTTTGTTTTCTTTTTGGAGCTGAGTCAGCCTCTTTAAAGAGACTAAGGGGGCGGGGGGGGGGGACTAAGGCTATGGTGCAGTGGGATAAGCTGCAGTCTGCAGCAGCAACATCCCTTATGAGCTACCGGTTTGAGCTCTGGCTGTTTCACTTCCCTGCTAATGGTGCCTGGGAAAGCATCCAAGAATGACCCACATGTTTCAACCTCTGCCACCCACAGCGACAGACCCAGATGGTGCTTGAAGCTTTGGCCTGGACCAGTCCCAGCCTTTGTAACCACTTTGGGAGTGAACCAGTAGACTACAACTCCATCTCCGCCTCTCCCCTCTGTCACTCTACCCTTCAGATACATCAGCCTTACACAATAAATCAATGCTTCCTATGGAAAATAAACCCAGCGGTTACCAGAAACCTGTGGTCCCCAGGCACGGTCAGTTGTAATCCATTTGGAGAGGAGACATGGGTACAAAAATCAGCTCCAAACACAGGTGCCAGGAACTCAGGGGAGGGCTGTGCAGAGGCAGGAGCAAGGCACCAAATAAGCACCCAAAACTGGTTTTGTGTTTGTGTTCTTAAACCTGGCAGCACTAACTCCTCACCGTCTTGTCAAATCCAAGGCCACCTCGGAGAAACAGACTTGGGGCCTACTCACGATGTCCGTGTGATTCTTACTCACCCACACGGCTGGTTTTCTAGGCCCTGGGCCTGCATGTGCCTTGGACAAGCAAGCCACACCAGCCTCGTTGTGGCCAGAAGAGATCCTGGGTGGCGTCATCCACACACTCCACCCAACGTGGGCCCCGGCGTTCACCCTCTGGGGTTCTCAACTGGTGTGTGGGCAAGACAAGCCTTGAATAAGCCCACATACCTGCAGACCTACACCCCGGCAAGTTAGGAACCACTTGCACATGACACTTTCCCAACTTTAGTTTTTGCAAACAAACACGGGCCAAAGAATGACAAAAATGTCCCTCCATTAAATCGTGTGTTTGTTCTGCTGGTTCGGTTAAAATGTAGCAGGCCATTACCACACGGTTACAAGATCATCCTGAAGAAATCACTTCAACACACTGGCTCTGACTCCAAAGGTGCCAGCACCTCTCAGCCTGGTATCAACAACAAACAGTTCAGACAACCCAACAGTGCCGGCAACCCTAAGGGGGTACAGACGGTCACAGGACGCTCAGCGGCTCGCTGCCTTCTCCTTCTGTGCAGCAAACGCTGGGAAGACAATCACTTTAGGATTCTCAATGGGGCTAACAGAGCTGTGAAAGCAATGCGCCTGGCATGTCAGTCTGTGTGACCTGCGCACGTACACACACACACACACACACACACACACACACACACACACACACACACACACACACGTACCTGCTTCTCATGCACACACATCCCAGCATGCTGGGCAGTGACCGGCTTCATGACTGTGACTAGATGTCACCACATGTGCCTACAGCCCTCGACTGCCTGAAGACTGACTGCAGGCGCACAGAGCACCCACACCAGCCTTATGGGCCATGGAGGAAAGCGCAACAGACCCATGGGCATGGCAACTGACACACCTAGGTGGGCGTCTTAACCAGGAAGGATGAGCAGAAGCAAATCCAGTCTTTTGCATGCTCCTTGATGTTTACAATAAAGCAACACAATCAACTTCAACCACCTACTCTGGGACGGAAGATACAAGCTTAGATTGTTCCAGTCTCACAATGCGACAGAAAAGCTTAGAGGATGGACGATAGGAGGGCCAAGCTAGAAAGTTCTAGCACATGAACGTCACCTGGAGTTCATCTAGCCTGGACTCCGCCCGTAAGGGTTTGTTCACTGCAGAGGGGATGTTAGAACAACTCTGGCTTTCTAACATACGCAGATATATGGCAGAGCCTGGGATATAGCTTCATATCAGGAGTTAGAATGCTTTATAACTTGCCTGCAAGCCCAACTGCCTGGATTCCTCAGCCCTCATGGAGTCTAATCCACCAGGAGGGACATGGGGTAAAGAGTAAGGAATAAAACATGCCAGGCATCACACACAGAGGCCCTGAGGCGGAAGAAGAGAGCACGATGCATTTGAAGAGGGACAGGCATCTGCTAGGGCAGGGCTAGCAGGATTTCTTCTATGGATGGCATGGAACGTGAAGCTGGCAGGCTCTGCGGGGCTGTGTGGGCCCACAGGAAGATGTCCCAGATCCACCACATGGGCTTCACTGGCCTGCAGTGGGCAGCCCACCCACCCAGGGGCTATCTACCTAGTCTTCCTTGTCCCCCACTTCCTGGGATCCAATGAGCTCCCAGCAAGGGCAGAGAAGTCTCCAAAGCACAAGACAGGGCCACTGGGAGATGCAGACAGCCGTGGGCAGCTCTGGATGGGCACTGGGTCCCAGCGATTCCGCTCTCTGATCTGTGCTAAGAGCTGGGTGAGGGTACTTGTTAGGGACCTGGCCTTGCCCCCACCGCCTCCCCAGGATGTTTTAACAGCCAACAGACCTGGCGGACTCAGCTTGCCCTGACGGTCTGAAGAGCCCCTCCCTCCCTCTGCTCCTCTCTTCCCACTGCCTGGTTACCACTAAGAACAGGGCACAGTGACCTAACGCTCACTCAGCCCTCAGCGTCTGTGCCAGGGCAAGGAAGGGAGAACAAACAGGTGTCTGTGACCCTGACTGCCATCAGCCACAGCCAGGGCTGGCAGGACTTCCCTGCCACCATCCCCCAGATACACAGCCATGGACACACATACTGCACAGTGAGACTAGATACAGCCCCCCCACCCAAACCCAGGAGAGGAAGGCTCACACTCTCAATTTGCACATGCTCCCCTTCAGAGATGGACTGAAGATTCCCAACAGAGGCTGGCATTGTGGCACAGCGGGCAAAGCCACCACCTGTGATGATAGCACCCCATGTGCACACCGGTTCGACTCCCAACTCTCCTACTTCTACTCCAGCTCCCTGCTAATGCAGCTGGCAAAGCAGCAGCAGATGGCCCAAGTGCTGGGGCTCTAGCAGTCCCAGAGCAGCCTTAGAGGAGGCTCCTGACTCTGGTCTGGCCCATACCGTATCTGTTATAGCCACTTGCCAGCAGATGAAAGATCTTGGTCTCGCACTCTCTGTAACTGACTTTCAAACAAGTCTTAAAAGACTCCAAAACAAAGAAGACTGACCCCAAAAGGTCTAGGAGCCTCTGGCACTCTGGGCTTAGTTGGCAAGGTTTCTAGGACCTGGGGGCACCCCTGGGCCAGAGGTGTCCAAAGCTGCCCACGGAGCAGACATCCAGCTCTAATGCTGCCCCTTCTGGGCACTCACCACTTTCCAGTTCTACAAAACAGCAAGGGAACAACAGAGGGAAAGACGCTATCCATGAGCACACCCACAAGGGGTCACCAAGGAAGAAGATGGGCCAAGTCTTCACCCAACCCCCCAGGCACGCACCTTCAGCACCCATGAGGGTCTCAGATGACAGCCACCTAGACTCTGTGGGCACACAGGGCACTGGAAGTTTCTACCCCGCCAGGGAAAATGCATTTTGAAGATAGGATTAAGAGCAAGGCCGCCTTTACAGCCAGACCGCTGCCCTCTGGGGACACGCCCTCCCTTGGCAGCTGCTCTACCAAGACAGACCCGCTCGCACAGGCCTGAAAAGTGACCCGCACAAAACCAGAGGCATCTTTCAGAAGGGGCCCATGGCAGGTGATGGCTCTGGGTGTCAGGAATCCTGCTTCAATGAAAGGCTTGTGGCATGCAGTGTGGGAAACCCAGACGGCTCGGAGCTCACCTGCCCACTAGCTGAAATTCAAGGTCGGCTTTAGAGCCCAGGGCCACCTCGATGGGTTTATCTTTCTGATGAGAGATTAAACGCTCACTTAAAGTTTAAATGGACTTTTAAAAAGTCATGACTTTGATCCCTGAGCAGTCTACAAGGTTTTAAAGTTGTAAAACCATTAAGATCTGTATCCCCAAGATAATTTTCGGTCCCTTATTCTGGGACTGAGATGACTGAGAGTCTATTGAGCCCACAGTACCAGGGGAAAGTTAAGCGGCAGGTGCCGCTGCCAGTTGGGCACCAGGCTGGGGGAGCCAAGGGAAGTCCAAGCACAAGCCACCCAAGCATGGCACCTTCGTCCCAGGTTGGAAACAGGGTCCCCCGACAAAATACTTACGAACAGTGTCATTACTGGAATCCCAGGCTTCCACAAGCAACGTGTAAGACCTCTGCAAGAGAGAGAAACAATGGCTGAGCCAGGCCACAGCACCGTTGGCTCTCCTGCGACATGTGTCCCCACCACCCCTCGCCAAACAGAATCCTAAAACCAAAGTGACATTGGGACCGACAGTCCCATGGAGGTCCTGGGTGTCTCAACCCACAGAAGGTCCCTCCTCTTCCCTCTCCCACAGGTTGACAAAAATGACTCATCTCACTCAGCAGGGACCCACTGAGTCAGTGGGCATGAAGGCAGGAAACCCTACGGCCCCATCAGGAAATGTCCCCTTCCCTATATGGGACCACTCAGCCTATACAGTTTTTCCCCCCCAAAAAACTGTCCAACCCCTAAGCCTAATGCATGAGAAAAACACACAAAGAATTTCTTCTAAGCTAACCTACCCAGGTATCTATACCAAAGGGGTATTGCTAAGGTTACACTTTGGGGCCTGGTGGGGCAGTCCCCAGGGAGGCCCCCTTTTCCTTTTCAGAACCCCTTTGAAAATCCTGTCTGTGTGAGACCATCCCAGCTCCCACAAGTATCAGGTAACTCTAGGAAGCAGGAGGGGGTAGGTGCAAAGAGCCGGGGCAGGACAAAGAAGGCCGCCTACCGTGGGCAGTGGGGCGATGGGGGTCAGACTCCGCAAGGGGGGGGGGGGGACAAAGGGAGAGATCCCCGCACACCCAGGGCTTATATTTATTGATGAACTTATCTGTCAATAAGATCTAACATTCCAGGCATAATCAGAGGCCACTGACTAAACAAATCCCCTGGATACTGGCAACATGCCAGCTCCCAAGGACTGAAGCACTTTTTTTTTTCTTAATCTTCCAGGCTTATCTCAGAATTCCCCACCTCCCCAACCTCCACACCCCCCCCCACACCTAAGCTATTAGTGAGTCTGAGTGCATCCTCCCCCACACACACTCAAATCTTCATTTATAGTCATTTACAGTAGGCTCAGCTCTCACACCAACACAGGCATTTCAATAAACTGTCTGCTCTGTGCCTTGGCATGGGTCAAATACACCCGGGCAGGTGGGCAGACAAGGAACGTGCACCTGTCCTTGCGTCCCTGGCCCTGCACAGTCAGGAAGGCCGGCACAGTCTGCTGAACTAGTGGGCTGCCAGCTCGAGAGAAGGCACCCACCTAGGCAAGGGCGAAAGAAGATAAAGGAGCAGGGGCCGGGAAAAAAAAGTTTCATTCATAACTCCGAGCTCACCGCTCTCGGGGCAACACAGCAGGCCCCCTCTAGACATAAAAGTATCTTCAGATAGACCCAGCCTTGGAATTCAGCCGAAATATGCTTCATAGTCAAGGCAGGGTACAGATCCCATTTCGTTCACTGATAACTGTGGGAAAATGCTCAAGAAAGTAAGCAAAACCGGGCAAGCCGGGGCACATACCCGGGGCCTCTTCTGTTAGTGGCCACAGGTCCAGATTCACTGTTGTCATCGCTAATATTTTATTAGTGAAAGTTACACCTCATTTACAACCTCTTTAAGTCTCCTAGGACTTCCTACAAATTACAGGACTCTTCCAGAGAGCAACAGGAAAATTATGTTTCTCGGCCGATTCGAGATGAGGAGCGAGCCCGGTCGAAACAAGGCCAGCTGTATGGCTGATTCTGTATAATTAAGCCCTTCGTTCGCCCGTCACGTTGAGGCCCACGTCTTGCGCTTCAACAATATTGCCGTAATTAATCCTCTGATTAAATGCATTGATACCGAGAGTTTTGACAGACTTGCATAAGCGCTAAACACATAATACCCACAAATTCCACTGCAAGGGAGGACGCCCCAGGACTGGGCTGGCATGGCAGCAGGAAACCCGCTCTAATACCCATGGAAGGAGCCTGCTTAGGTCTTGCACAACTCAGCCACGGGCTCATCCCTGCCGCGGAAGCTGCTGACCCACAGCAGCCCCACCCCGGAGGGAAAAGGGCAAACACGGTCTGCTCCAGAGGCCTGGCCCGCACAAGCCCATCCTCGCAGCGAGACGGGAGGGGAAGGCGCAGAGGTGCAGGTGCAGCCTGCCTCACCAACTCCTTGGCTGCCTTGTTTCTGAGAAGGGATGAGGGTTGCGGGACTGGCCTGAGCCTTCAGAGAGGATTCCCTCCAAGGCTCCTATTAGGCACTCTTTACCTCCCACTCCATCCCCACACTATAGATCAACAATCAAGATAATTCGGCAATGATTATTAGTTGCTAGGGAACTTTAATTTTTCCCAGGCCCACGCTTGACCTCTGTACAGCCCTGAGTATATACCCGGATGCCCAGGTCCCAGACCATGCACACATCACAGCAAAAGCAGATGCCAGGCCACAGCTCAGCAATCCACTCTGATGAACTGCCCCCACTCCCACCCTCAACAGCCTCTACAGCGAGGCCAATTTCCCAATTCTAGGAGGGCGCAGAAAGGGAAGAGTCCAAACTTCAATCTTAGGAAAGCTCACCTGGGTTTTATCATCCCCTCCCTCCCCAAAGTCTTCCTAGATCAAGAGTCTGGGGACCATGCAAGGGGGACAGGGAAGGACCAGATCTTCTACCCTCTGCGCAGCTCTGAATTCCAGGAAATTTGGCAACACGTAGTGGCCAGGTCCCATCGTCCTGAAGCACCGGAAGAGAACGGGGCAGCTTGCAGAAACTGCTTTCTGTAAAGTTTCAGTGGAATTCACCTAGAGGAGAGGACTGGCACCAGCACCCCAAGTTATCCTACAGCCACCAGACCCCAACTGTCACTCACAGGAGAGGACTGGCACCAGCACCCCAAGGCATCCTAGAGCCAGCAGACCCCAATTGTCACTCCTCCCTCCCCACGGGCCATCAGCACCTCCTCCTATGCTCCACACTCCACTGAGCTGTGCCCGGTCCCACTCCCTGGCGGTTACCTTGGCACCGGGCAGAGCGGTAAGCACTTAATTGCCACATTAAGAAGGGGGGATGTAAGGAACAAAGGTAATTGTGTTGGCAGCTGGGAGCTTCCTTTTCCTGGCAACAGTGGCAGCCAAACCAAGCCCTGAGAAGCGGCTGCCTCCCCTCCTGCCAGGCTGACGGACACAAACAAACCGCCATCCAAACGGCACGCGCTTGGCGGCCAAAACCCCAGGCCACTGCGACAGGCAGGCGGGCCGGCCGGAGGCACGCACATCCTGGGAATGCCCGGCGTGCCCGCGTGGCCATTGTGCACCGTGGGTCGGCCCCGGGTTTGTCAGGGGCCCTGCACTCTGCTGACTCAACTGCCACTTCCTGTCGCTTGTCCCTGTATTAGCAGTATTTTTGGAGAGGCCCCATTCTTCCCCATAATCCTCGATTCAGTCCATTCGGCCAACTCTATTGTCCCGCCTGCGACTGGGTGGCCACAGTATAAGATATTCCAGTCACAAAACATTGGGAACAAAAACAGCTTCTGCAGAGCCCATGTGTGGGCACACTGGCAACACGCTTGCACACATAATTCTGGTACCACAGGGTGCTGGCAAGGTGAGAGAAGAAGACGGCGACCTGCCCTACACAGCAGGCAAGCTAAGTCTTCAGTCATGGAAGCCAATCAAGACTGCAGCGCTGGACATGTCAATAGAGGCTGATCTGGTTACAAAGGGCGATTTTTTCGCCAAGCCGACCTCAAAGGCTCACCAAGCGGCCCCAAAGCTCATATCCAGATTGGAGTCTCAATGAGCACCCTATCCCCTTTCCCATCATTACCCTTACCTGTTTGAAAAGCATCCCACTGATAATTAAATGCACCAGTTACAAAAGGGTGGCGAGGTTAATAGATAGAATACCGAGAAGCCAGCCAAGCTCAACGGCCCGGTTCACACAGAGCAAGCCCAAACAAGAAGCCTTTCTACTGATTTACCAAAAGCGCAGAAAAACTGGGCTGAGCTGGTCCAGGTCCCCCCATCTGCATACTCTCCAAGCAGAGGGAGCCACGCTGGGGAAATGCATTCCACCAGACACCATCACACAAGGGCTCCAGGAGGGCTGGGGTGCACCCCAGGGATCAGGAACCAGCCACAAAGTCACCAGTCAGCCCCTCAGGAAGAGTGGAGTGCTTCCAGATACCCGGGTCCCTTCCCCCCCAACTTCCACCATGGTTCTCCTGCCACTTTCCACGCCTTTCCTTCCCCACAACTGGAAGCAGAGGTTAAGTTTGTTTTGTTCCAACTCAAAAAAAAAAGTACATTTAAAAGCTGGAGCCACATGTCACTTCTCTCAGCCGTCTGTATCCCAACCTGGGGTGAGCGGTGGGGCGGGAGGGGAGAGGGGCTGGGAAGTGGAGGGAGGAATTAGAGGCAGGCCCCTCAGAAGCTTACCAAGGGAGAATTCTCAGGAATATTTGTTTTAGTGGATTACTATGCTAATTGTATGCATGTCCAGAGATTATGCATTCTTACATTGTAACTAATCTTGAAAAGCCTGCCATCAGGACCAAGCGCTGGCCCCTGTACAAAAGGGCCAGTGGCTGTACATGAATGCACCCTCTGCATGCCGGTGAGGATGACCTGTTGCTGTAGTCCTGCTGCCTCTCCTTCTTCTTGTGGCCGATATTCTTTTCTGTCTGTTAAACTGCTTACATGCCTTCTGCCCTGTAAGATCTTAGGCAGCACTGACAGGGCTGCCTTTGGGAAGTGCCTGCCATCTCTGTCCCTGACTGCACCCAGCATCCCCAGCAGCCCCTGTGCCAAAAGCCTCATGCTTTCCTCTAAGTGTTTGAAGTCTCTGCAGAACTGTGGGTGTGGAGCTGGGGGTGGGGGCTGCAAACTCATGGAAGTATTAGAGGTTTGAGTGAGTTGCTAAGAAACATGACAACAAGGAGGAAGAAAACAGAGAAGGCTCCACCTGCGGGAGAAAAACGTTAAGAACTAAGTACCTTTCATTTGGGGGAGCAGCATTCTGCACACACAGGGCCCGGCATGCTCCAAGCCAACATTTCTCTCGCTTTCCATTGTTTTCGTCTTGGGGGGGAAGGGGGGCGCGCTTCCGTCCATCAAGTCCCCCATGGAGCCCATTCTCATACATGACACCTCACGTGTGTCGACACGCTCCCCAGGCAAATGAATCACATTGCTCTGCCCTCCGTGGGTCCACCCCGGGACCGGAAAGATGGCAGGAGGCTTGAAGGCAAGGACTTGTCAGGGGGAGTCCGTGATTTACATCCCAGCAGCTGATTTACCCAAAGCCCTGGCAATTGGTCATTCAGGACTTCCTTACATGTGAAACAAACCGAAGCTGGCAACCCCTCTGGTATGCAAGAATCACATTTCATTGAATTTTTCTTAAAAAAAAAAAAGTTGATCTCAGTAAGCCTCTAAATAGGACCAAGAGTATTTAAATAGAGACTATAACAAGTTCGATAAAAGCAACGGTTTGCCACCCGCTCCCTACCACCTCTCCCAAATTACTCGAAATTCATTTCATTGAAGGGCCACTGACTCGGTGGGTAGAGCTTACCAGGGTTCTGGGATTCCCCCCCAAAAGTAGTGGCAATTACACTAATGCAGTTTTAATGAGCAGGCACTCCTGGGATTTGGAGCCAATTGTGAGAGGTGCAAATTAACCATTTCACTGATTCAGGAATCGCTGTTCCCAAACCATTTCTTGTGAAGCCCAATTAGCTCTCACAGTGCTGTCCATCACTTGCCCCGCCCCCCCCCACCCGAGGATCATAAATCAGGCTGGGTGCTATGTGTCAATCTCCTCTCCCCTCCGGATTGGGAACTACCCAAGCAGAGCCACCACGAGCCAGCTGAGGGCCAGGGCAGCGGACTTCCAAGTGTGGGCAGTAATTGGATCTGATAGGCCAGGCAGGCCCACCTCCACGGAGCACACACGCTGGAATGCCGGATTGCATTTCATATCTGACCAAGTCATTTCCTCCTCTTCCTCCCCAGGACGTGAACAGTTGTCTTTAATTGGGGTTACAATGCCAAACAAAAAGACACCAATGGCGTGACCTTCTGTAACTGACCCACCCGTGGCATCCCAACCACGGCTCCCTCAGTGCCAGGGTGCACACACCAACTGTGGATGCAGAGGGCTTGGCAGTAGGGGTGGCTGGGAGTTTTTAATTTCTGCATCACATCCTCTCCTGCACTCCTACACCCGGCTACCTTGAAACCTCCTGCAGCACTCACATTCGCTCATCAACTGCCAGGCCGAACCAAGCTGTGCTAGCCACTTCAATACTTGCTCAGCTTCCGGGGACATTCCCGTCAACAGTCACCCAGGAATCCTGACACTGTGGGCCAGCAGGGGTACTTCTCAGACACACACACACACCCAACACCACACTTCCAACTGCCGTTTCTGTCAGGGAGGGTGCAGAGCTGGTGCTTCCCAGCTGGCCTTTTGGGGGCGGCAGGGGGGTGCTTTGCTGGGGAGACTTGCATTTGACCCTATGTTAAAACAACCACACGCTCCTACTGACCCGGCAGCGGTCTCCCCAACCACAGCAAAGCCAAGAGTCTATTTCACAGTTGGTGACCCCGTGGGGCCCCAAGCCACAGAGGAGTACCAGCAAAACCCTGCTCTCTCACATGGCCTCTGCTCCCTGGCCACCAAGGACCCTCTGTCCAACGTCACCAGGGGACAGACGCCTTCCCAGCGTGGGAAGCAAGTCTCCCAGCTTTCCTCGGAGCCACCCTCTGACCCCAATTCACAGAAAGCACCTCAGCCGGGCCTGTTGCTTTTTCCGCATCCCTAACAAGATGCCTTTTATGGTCTTGTCAAAAGCCAGGGGGCCCCCTGGGCCCGTCCTCCCGGGGTAACCACCTGCAAGCCCCTTCCCCCGCGCTAGGCTCCAAACACCAGTTGCAGGGCAGTCTGCGTTCACACGGCAGCTTGGACCCAGCCTAATTTAAAGCTGGCCAGCCAATTTCTAAAGTTCTCCCTAATAAGGGATTAGCAAACAAGATAAACACTCTTTGTAAAAAATGAAATCCCGAACCAGAATGAGCTTTCAGAGCTCAAGACAGTTTCACACACCGATTGGCTTATTTATGCACGAAGACGGGGGAGAAGGTGCCCCACTTCCTGGTGTGGTGGTGTTCAGCACTGTTGAATTTCACCCAGGGTAGGCAGACGTTTGCAAGGCCGGCTTCCCAGATCTCAAGGGCGGCCCTTACAGCTTCCCACAGAGACGCGGCCAGACACTCTGCCCTGGGCTAGCTCCCGGGAGCTGTGGATCCGCAGCCCCAACCGGCGGGTAGGAGGCAGCAGAGCGCACCCCACCAGAGCACGTGGCGGAGAGCCACCCGGGGGGACACCGAGCTCCCCCTCTCAGCGCCCACCCTCCTTCCAGCCCCAGTGCTGGACAGCGGGAGGCCGGCACGGGGCACACCCCCCAACATTTCCCTTTCCTCTCCTTCTGCAATCACACCCATCTTCCTTCCACCCATTTTGAGATGTTGCAAGGGCCCCGACTACAAAGCTGCCAGCTGGGCTCGAGCCTCAAGCTCCTACAGGATAACGAAGGAGGGGGGGGGGGGGCAAAGGGAGAAGGTCCGAGGTACACTTCAACTTGCCAGTGCCACCCCCACCCCAACTTTCCAAAACTTTGGCCCGGCTGACTAGACTTCGGGGGGTCCGCCCGCCAGCCCGCGCGCCCGCCGGACGAGGGCGTGCGCCCGCCCTTCCCGGGGAAGTTTGCAAACACAGCTGTTCCAGAGCCCGGGAACCGCTGGAAGTGAGGCCACAAGGGCTTCACCGCGCGGAGGCGGGGGCAGGAAGGGGCCGGCACGGGGCGGGGGTTCCCGGGCCTGCAGCCCGGGGCGAGGGCCCCGAGACTCCCCTCCTCTCCACCGCCCGTCCGGGGCCTCTCCGAGCGGCGGCCGCCCCCCACCAGGCGTGAGGGCACGCCTAGCCAGGAGAGCGCCCCCCGCGCGCACCAAGAACTCCAGTGGAGCAGCGGGAAACGCGCTTCCCCCACCCCCCCCAAACACACACACACACCCTTCAGGAAGGACACGCCCGCCCTCCGGGCCGCTCACGGGAAAAGGGAGAGTGCCAATTTGGACGGCGTTCACAGCCCAGAGCTGCGTCGAGTCGCCCTCGGCCGCGCACCAGGTTTAAGTAGTTACACCAAAGAGGACCCCGACGAGGACCTCCTGGCTCCGAGGGCGTGGGGGGAGGGGAACGAGGCTGGCTTTCCTCTCGGGCCTCCAAATCGCAAGTTTAAAACCGGTCCTCCTGGGAGCGTCCCCTTGGGTCCACCACTTTTCATGCACAAAAAGCAGACAGCAGCAAAGCGGGGAGAAGGGAGGGAGACCCCGCCCCGTCCGGCTCTGCCCAAGTCTGAACTCTAGATGAGACAGTCTCAATTCCCGGATTGGCAACCTCCCACCCCCCCAACCCCCCCAAAAAAGCCGTTCCCACGTTGGCGCCTGAGTTCCAAGGCAGGAGCCTTTAAATCCGTCTGGGAAAGGCTTACGCCAGGGCCGGGCGGGGTTGCGGGTGCGAGAGTGTGGAGCCCCCCAGGAAAGCACTCACCGGCCAGGCGAAACTGAAAGGCAGCACGATGCGGTTGCGGTCGTTGCCGCGGCTGGCCTTGAGGTTGAAGGTGTTGCCCCCGATGACAGGCGTGGAGCCCGAGCCGAAGCTGCAGGGGCCCCCGGCCGTGACGCGGGACTGATACTCCTTGAGGCACACTTTGAAGTACGTGTCACACTCGTCGCGGGTGCACTTGCGGTCTCCGGGGTTCCGCGAGCCCCCGCAGCAGTTGCCGTTCTGCAGCTCCCCGTTCACGTTCTGCATGGACAGGATCTCCAACTCGAATTGACCCGAAGCGCCGCACACCTGCCGGCGAGGGAGGGAAGGAGGAGGGTGGGAGGAAGGTCAGAGCGGGAGAAAGTTGTTTTCTTCGAGGGTGGAGGCGGCGACTCCCAACCCGCCCCGCCAGCCTCCGACGCCAAGTGAAAATAATTCCGTAAAACCGGTTCATGGACCCGATGTGATTCTGGGGGCATAGAAACGCACGAATGCGAGAAGGCAAAAAAACATATATACATATATCATCATAAAATTTTAAAAACCCGACGACTGCCCTGGGGGGGTGGGGGCGGGTGGAAAAACTAAAAAAAAAAAAGTGAGGCGAATGCGTGCGGCCCAGCCCGGGTAGCCGCAGGGCACGTTCAAGCGCAGCTGCAGCCCCTTGCGCGCGGGGGGCCGGGCCGGCGAGCCGCGCGCGCCCACGGGGCTTCCTCCGGGAGCCGGCTCCGCGGCGCGCCCCGACCGTCGCCCGCGTCCCAGGCGCCGCGAGGGGTGGAGGGGTGGCCCGGCGGCACGCGCGCGCGAGGCTCCTACCTTGGCTCGCAGGGCGCAGAGCAGGGCGAGCAGGAGGCTCAGGGGGCGCCCGGGCCGGCCGCGCGTCCGTGGGGACCGCATCGCTGCGCCGCGCGCCGCGGGCACTCGGGACGCCTCCTCCGCCGCCGCCGCCGCTCCTCGCGCTGGTGCTGCCGCCGGTGCTGCCGTCGCCGCTGCCCGAGCGGCCGCCGCGTCCCGGCTCTAATATACTCCGCCGATGGGAGCATGCACGACTGGAAAACAACACCACTTTTCAAAAGCCCCTTTTCAAGAGCGGCCCCGTTCCAGAAGGCAAAGAGCCCGGCCTCCTTTTATTATTCTGATCGCTTCTTGGAGGCGCTCCCCTCCTCTTCCACCTCCCGGCTTTCTTTCCTTCGCTCGCGCTCCCCTTCTTTTATTATTATGATTATGCGCAGCCTTTTATTCCCTTTCAGATCAGCTGCATGGAAAGGGGGGGCGGAGGAGGGAGGGAGAAAAGGAAAAAAAAAAATAAAGCAGCCGAGCCTAGCTCGCCGGCCGGCTGCAGGTAACACAATGACGCGTGCCCGCCTGGCTCTCGGAGAGAGGGACCCGGAGAGCCAGTCTGGGAGCCGCCGCGGCTCGCGCTGGCCACCTCTACCCAGAACGCGGGGCAGGGCGCATGCGCCCCTATTAATATTCATGAGGGAGGCCGTGTTGCCGCGGGCCCCGCCCCTTCCCTCCGGGTGGACGGGGAGGGGGCGGCGCGGGGAGGCACTTGGAAGTGGTTCGGGGTTCGCTCGTGGGGTGCCGGGGCGGCGGCGTGGAGACGTCCGGGGCGCGCGCGCACACGCAGCCACCGTCGCGCAGGGCCGCGGCTTGGCCCCGCGCCTCTCCTGGGGCGCCCCGCTCCTCGGGCGCTCCCCGCCGGGGGTCCCCGCGCCGCGGCCCTCCCGTCGGGGGCCCCTCTCAGGTGCAGGCTCGGCCGGGCGCTCGGAGCCGGGCGGCTTCCGCCTTCCGCGCCGCCTGCGTCAGCTGCGCCTCTTTCTGGCCCCTGGAGGACGGGCCTGGCCGCGGCCGGGAGCCCGGGGAGCGCGCGAGGAGAGGCGCTCGCCTGGCGCCCCGGCCGCCGTCGGCTGCGCCCCGCGGAGCGGCGACCTGCGCTGGACGCTGCTGGGGAACTTTTGACAAACTTGCCGGGAGCCAGGCTCGGCCGCAGACTGGAAGTGGGGTGTGTGTAGGTGTGTGGGGGGGAAGCCTGGGCCGCGCCCCTCGGCCTCCTCCCCACCCGCGTCCGCGGAACCCCTAGAGGGCTCCCGGCTTCCTCGCGTCGCCGCGCCGGGGCGGAGGCGGGCCAGCCGGGTTCCTGCAGAAGGGGCCGGCGGGGCGGAGATGGACAGGGTCGTGGGCTCGGACACCTTCGCCCGTCCCGCCGCCGGGGCCGCAGTGCTCGGATTGCACCTGTAGGCGGCCTCCGAGCAGCTCGCTGGGTGGCAGGCCGTGGGGAGCCAGGGGCCTGGCCAGGGACCCTGCCGCCACCCTCTCCGGCTGCAGAACTTGACCTCTCTCTGGGGTGGCGGTGGAAACCTAGGCCCGCCTTGGCAATGAACGGCGACCCTGCTGGTCATAATCAAGGTCAAAGGAAAACCCTCGGGCTTGGCTCTGGAGGCGACCGAGCGCTTCCCCGGTGGGTTTGCTGGGGGGCGTTCGAGGGCAGCTGTTCACGAAAACCTCGGTTTCCACTGGCAGCTAGACCGAGACGGAGCTTGCATTGGGAACGGGCCGCACAGACGCAAGGCTATTCGGTGGCCAGTTTGGGGCACGTCCAGCCTGGGCTAGGAAGCGTGAGGGTCAGAAGTAGTTTCCAGTGCGCCGAGTTACTCTAAAGACCAACAGTGGGTTTTGTGTAGTTAACTACTTCTCGCACTTTCTGGGAAGCTCAACATGAAGAGTAGTTCTGCGCCAGGTCTCATGTTTATGGAGAATGAAACAAGGCAGCCAGACGTCTTTGGATTAGCTCAACGCTAATAAAGATGGTTGAGGAATCTCTGCCTTGTAATAGCCAAAAAAAAAAAAAAAAGTGCACCTAAGCAAGGTGTTTTCTTCCTGGTAACGTGTTCCGTCTTGAACGTTCTTGAAAAAAAATTTCACATTTTGGAAAGGACGTGTCCAAAGCCAGCACAAGTTTATCTACAGCTGGTGATGTTTAGCAGTTGCAAAGGCAGCGAAAAAAAAAGCTGCAGTGTTTTCTTCGGATATATATGTCCTGCCCTCTTTTTTCCCGCAGTCTTCCTAAATGCATCCAGTGTGTCAAGTGTAATTCCCATGTACTTTTGTTTGGGTTTGTTACTTTTTTTTTAAGTCCTATTGGAAGCCAGGAACCACAACCTTCCGGGTCTCCCATGTGGTAGAGTGCCCAAGGATTTAATCCCTCCTGCTGCGTTCTCGGGCCATTAGCAGGGAGCTGGATTGGAAGCGCAGCCTCGTTGCATTCCATTCAAGGTCTATCGAGACTGCTAGCCTCACCATTTCATCTCTTCGTCACCTCTACCTCTGAATGCAGGATGCCGGGGTGGGGGTGGGGTGAGGTCTGGAAGAACAAATCCCTGCGCAGGCTGCTGTGGTCTCAAGGCGCGTTCCTTGCATTTCCAGGAAATGCACGGTTCCTTCTGAACCCGTTTCAGTTCTGTGCTCACGCCCCTCCGGAAGGAGGATTCGGAGCCGCCCTTGAGGTCAGACCTAGCCACCTAAACCAGCCCAAGGTGATTTTGGCCAATTTAACGACCAGGAAAGAAACGACAGATTCCTAGGATTAAAACCACCTGATTGAATCCTGGCGGGAATATTGTCAGTAATAAACTCAAGATTCTCATGGCAAGGAGTATGGAGTTTTCTTTCTGAGCGCGGGGACTCACTTTTAGGGAACGTGGTTGTGGGTTGAAGGGGATTCTTTCGAAAATTTTCTGTTGGGGTTCTTCCAACTGCTTGGGACTCCCCTCCCCCAAAAAGCCAGTCCCGTTTCTGGCAACAGACCTTCACCTTCACTCTGGCCTCCGCTAGCTTACTGCAGTTCCCACCCTCCCTCTCTGGAGGATGGGGAACTGCCGGAGATTCCCTCCGCCCCACCCCTCAGCTAGGCTGGAGACTTGCTAGTGAGTGAACATTCCAGAACCATCTTCCTCGTTCAGAAAATGCCGCGTGGAGCTAGCACAGCCGCACCTCAGAGAAGGGGTAAGGCAGCTTCATGTGCGCAAATCCTAACTGCTGAATATCCATCTCCTTCAATTCTGAAAGGACGATACCTCGTTTTGCTTTTTTTTAACCAAACTTGTCACGCTTTTACTGAGTCCTCAGCAGCAATTCTGAACTCCCAAAGGGCTGCAGAGGGGACATTCAAGCCTACATTTACTGTGTGCAAATGCATTTACTCCAAAAAAGTGATAAAAATCAGCTTATCAATACTTACCTAGAAGTGTTGTTCACGCAGACACATGGCTGATCTGAATGCTGTGTCGAGGGAATAAGCCAGATACAGCCCAAGTACACCCATTTACATGAAGTTTTAAAACAAGCAAAACTCGTCTGTGGGGGGAGAAATACCACAAAGGTGAGTTCCTGAGGGGTGGGAAGGTGGAAAGTTGAGTGGAATGGGCTTGAGGCGCTTCTGGGCGGTGCAGGATCCAGGTTGGCATCTTCATAAAGGTTTGGGTTACACAGGTGTACACTGTTGTCAAAATTCACTCTAGGACATTTTAACCTGGGTGCATTTCATCAGATTCAAAAGGAAAAAAAAAATTGTAAGCAAAGCAGTTCCAAAGTGTAGAGCACTTAGGGGGATTTGAAATTATGTCTGCAATATGATTCCTGATGCATAAAGTTTTGTAGAATTAGAGAGTGTGTCTGGGTAGGGAAACTGCATGCTGAAGCGGACTAACAAGCTGCTGATGGTAGAATCTAGGTGTGACACTGGTCCTCATGTAAGAAGTCTCCATTTTCTCTGAAAACTTTTATCATAAAAGGCTGGGGGGGGGGAGAGTTATTGACATGGCGGGTGTTGGACAGAGTGGCAAAAGCACTACAGACAACACCAAAACACGAGCGAGTGCAAAGCCGTGTGCAAGGCATGGTGATGGTGCAGTCAGAGCAGTCAGCTGAAGCGGGCGGTTCCTTTCCCCCTTGCCTATTCCTAATTTCTTCCTGCGTTCCCCGGAGAGACACACATCCAAATGACAGAAAAGGAACATGCGAAATAGCCCGTGTTGCGATATTGCAGAGAGATGAATCCAGGCTCCCAAATGCTGTTCTGTGATTGTAATATTTCCTTGTCCCCTTTCAGCAGAGCCAAAGAGTGCATCATATTGCATCTTTGAAAAAAAAAAGAACAGTCCCCCCCACCAGTGGACAACAAAATACGCATTAAAAAACCAGGAAGAAGTTATAGCTCCCGCATAAGCAGGCCGCAAGTTTGTTCACACAAGCATAGATTGGGTAGGCTCAGCCATTTTCCCCTCAAAGCTTCGTTTTACATACACAAGAGATCTGAATTAATTTGGGGGGTGGGGGACTGGAAACTGAAAGTATGCATTGCATGCATTATCAGAATAACTTCATCCCAGCTCGGTCTCAACGTTGTCTTGGTTTTGTCTTACGCACAGGAATTCATGATTTGCTTCCCTCCCTGTACCAGTTCAGTCTCTCGGTCAGTACGTGACTTCATCAGAATGAACTGCTATCCACATTCCCTTTAATAATCAAATCACAGACTCCAGGAACCATGGCACTCATTGTCTTCCTTAAATTTAAACCAGTGACATCCTATTGTCATGTGACAGTTGGGAGCTTTTATTTGAAAAAAGGAAAAATCCTGGGTGTAAATTACTGTAACATTGGCATTATCAGAACAACTGTGAATAACTCATTGACCTTTTTTTTTTTTAAAGATTTATTTTTATTATTTTTTCATTGGAAAGGCGGATATACAGAGAGGAGAGACAGAGAGGAAGATCTTCCATCCGATGATCCACTCCCCAAGTGAGTGCAACGGGCCGATACTATGCCGATCCGAAGCCAGGAGCCTCTTCCGGGTCTCCCACGCGGGTGCAGGGTCCCAAAGCTTTGGGCTGTCCTCCACTGCTTTCCCGGGCCACAGGCAGGGAGCTGGAAGGGAAGTGGGGCTGCCGGGATTAGAACCGGCGCCCATATGGGATCCCGGGCGTGCAAGGCGAGGACCTTTAACCACTTGCGCCACCACGCTGGGCCCTCATTGACCTTTTTATGGGGTGGAGTGGTGAATTGTCCTGTTAAAGACATCTAAATTACTTGACCCAATTAGATACACAAGGATAGCATTTTAAAAAAAAACAAAATTGATCTACTTGTATAGTTTATGGACTTCAATGCAACGAACAATTTTCTCCAATTGCAAAATGTGACTGAGCTCCTCCAAGGCTTTTTTTTTTTTGTCTGAGAGACTCTGAAAATTATTTTTTATAGCAGGTAGCTTTTGGAGACTACCACAATGCAATTCCCTTCACGAATACTATATTTTTTTTAATCTCACTTGAATTTGACTTTTTCAAGCAAAACCAAACCCAAGGAGATGCCTCTAAAACTAAAATAAATAATACTTTAAAAAATTAAGGTAGCTCTTAGAACTTGAGAAAAAGAGAGCTAACTATATTTAGTAATCTGGCAACATTTCAAAACGTATGTATATATGAGATTCAAGGAAAGAGGATCGCAGTGGTCGGAAGCAACAGGGTTTTGAATTGTTTGCGTTCATTGCCCTTAGTAAATTACTAAACTGCGTCTGTGTTTGACACTTTTGTTCTCAAGCCAGTGGTTTCTTTACTGACTGTTTCCTCTCAATTAGAATATCAAAAGTGGATAATCACCACGCTATGTTTAAGTTTTCATTTGCAAGGTAAATAGTTGTTTTCATTAGTATGTTATGCCAAGAGAGGGCTGAAGCTTGGCTAAATAAAGAAATAGTAGCTTGAGGACAGATTATTGACACAAGTCTGAACCATAAATTGAGGTCCTTAGACAGCAGTCAGAATGTCAGAGGTTTTCTAATGCACAGATATTCGTGAGCCTCATTCAGAAATGACTTAAGACCAACGTTGGAGATTCTGTTTTTTCTTGGAAATAAAGCAAAGGCACAGAAAACTTGGATTAGGCAAACAAGAAAAAGTTAAAATTTTAATATATATATATTTATTGTTATGATTGGAAAGCCAGATATACAGAGAAGAGGAGAGACAGGAAGATCTTCCATCTGCTGATTCACTCCCCAAGTGTTGGCAATGGCCAGAGCTGAGCCAATCCAAAGCCAGAAGCCCGGAGCTTCCTCCAGGTCTCCCACGCGGGCGCAGGGTCCCAAGGCTTTGAGCTGTCCTCTACTGCCTTCCCAGTCCACAAGCAGGGAGCTGGATGAGAAGCAGGGCTGCTAGGATTAGAACCGGTGCCCATACGGGGTCCAGGCGTGTTCAAGGTGAAGACTTATAGCCATTAGGCTATTGCACCGGGCCCTAGTGAAAACTCTTAAACAGACCAATTGGGGGCCCGGTGCGGTGGCCTAGAGGCTTAAGTCCTTGTCTTGAATGTGCCAGGATCCCATATGGGCACTGATTCTAGTCCCAGTAGCTCCACTTCCCGTCCAGCTCCCTTCCTGTGGCCTGGAAAGCAGTTGAGGATGGCCCAAAGCCTTGGGACCCTGCACCCGTGTGGGAGACCCGGAAGAGGTTCCTGGTTCCCGGCTTCGGATCGGCGCAGCACGGCCTTTGCGCTCACTTGGGGAATCATCGGACGGAAGATCTTCCTCTTTGTCTCTCCTCCTCTCTGTATTTCTGACTTTCCAATAAATAAAACAAATCTTTTATTTAAAAAAAAAAAAAGACCAATGGAAGGACTTGGGAGAGTCTAAAATTTTTAAAGAAACAAAAGGAGGCCGGGCTTCTTGCTGCAAGGTGAGAGAGGCGAACTTACAAGCAAGGGAGAGCTGCCTTGAAACACTGCTCACGACCGAGCAAGTTCGGTTTTGACTCCGTCCAACAGAACCTTCGCTTTCAGGCTGCTGCTCCCAATCAAGATCCTCAGTAGCTGCTGGGACCGTTTACCAGCAGGAGACGGAGGGAGACTTCCTGTGTTGGATGCGAGGTTCCAACAAGTGATTCGATAGGAACCTTAGCTTCGGGAGTTGCGGGGAAAATAAATGCATGGGGTGGGAGCTGGGGTCTACAGACACGATCTAGAAGTCAGCTTTTAGACACATTTGTAGTGTTGCCAAAGATTGAGTGTTGGGTGAAAACTCTGCCCATCTGTTTTCTGCACTTAAATCAGGGCTGAATGTTCCAGCGCAGCTCCTCTTTGCTTTCAGCTCATGACTGCACTCTAACCCTCGCTTTTCTGGTAGCATTCTGAGACCCAGGAGCGTTGCGCCAGTGGGATGCTGGCTAGCGATTCAGAATCTGCAGCATCTGTCCCAGACCACCTGTAATTGCTCATCAGCTCCAGGTATGACTGGATGGCCTGAGAATTTCCAATATAACCCACACCAAATACAGAAATAGTCCAGAGCTAGGAAGGAATTATTAAATCATCTTTTTTCTTTCTTTTTTTAAAAAAAAAATTTATTTTTTATTAGAAAGTCAGATTTACAGAGAAAAGGAGAGAATTGAGCTGATCCGAAGGCAAGAGCTTCTTCCAGGTCCCCCACACAACTTACGGGGTCCCAAGGCTTTGGGTCATCCTCTCTTGCTTTCCCAGGTCACAGGCAGGGAGCTGGAAGGGAAGTGGAGCAGCTGGGACATGAACTGTTACCCATATGGGATCCGGGTACATGCAAGGCAAGGACTTCAGTCACTAGGCTAAACCACGCTAGACCTCTCAAATGATCTTCCAATTAAGCAGTCCCAGCCAAGCATCTCCCATCTGACCTACCAGTTGAATGAAGACACAACCAAATCAAGCAAGTCCGTATCAGCAAAACTTTCCCTAGATGTGCAAGAAATAACTGGATGCTTTAAGCCCAGCTTGGAGTTGCGTTGCTGGGCGGTGTGACTGCCCACCACAGCTAAAATATATATATATTTTTCAAGTTGCAGCAAAAACTTTTATTTCCATTTGGTCCACGGTTTAAGAGAGGTCTCTGGGGGCTGTTAACAAGCTGCCTAGTGGCTGGTGGGGATGTTTAGGCACAAATTGGGATACCAGAGATGCAGGGGAGCCCCCGTGGCTGCTGGGCTCCGCCGCCCCTAGTCGTGCTTCAGAGTGAGCCTTTCGAAGAGGTACTCACCCAGTCCAGCCTGGGCTCCCTGGGGGGCGGCCACTCTGCGGATGTTGGTCAGGTGGTCACCCATCTTCTTGAGGAGTTTGACCTCCTCGTCAAGGAAGTGGTTCTCCAGGAAGTCACAGAGATGAGGGTCGGTGTGGGCAGAACCCAAGGCATGCAATTCCAGAAGGGCTTGGTTCAGGTTCTTCTCCAGACCCAAGGCGGCTTCCAAGGCATCCTGGGTTTTGCCCCACTCATCTTGGGGCGGCTTCTGCACATCCTGGAACAGGGCGCGGCCGCCACGTTGGTTTTGCATCTTCAAAAGGCGCTCGGCGCCCTCATGCTTTTCATCTGCCAGCTCGCGGAAGAAGTGGCCCACGCCCTCCAGAGCCACATCATCGCGGTCGAAATAGTAGCCCAGAGAGAGGTAGGTGTAGGAGGCCCGCAGGTGCAGATTGACCAGGCGGTTGACGGCAGCCTCCACCTCGGTGGAATAATTCTGACGAATCTGGGAGGTCATGGTTGTTCAGCGATCAAGGAGATGACCCCAAAAAACGGTGTTGGAGGAGGTGAAGATGGCCGACGAGTGGTCCCAGAGGCTGTAAACTGGAGGAGAGATGGGAAGGCGGTCGAAGTCGGTGTAAGAGAGTCCTCGGGCCTGTTCCGTTCAAACACTGTTGAAGCAAGACACAGGTCCGCGGGTCTCCCGGCGCGTCGCTCCTAAAATATATATTTTTAAAAAGAATCAAACTGGGCCCGGTAAAGTAGCCTAGTGGGTAAAGTCCTTGCCTTGCATGCATCAGGATCCCATGTAGATGCCAGTTTGTTTCCCCGGCAGCTCCACTTCCCATCCAGCTCCCTGCTTGTGGCCTGGGAAAGTAGTCAAGGTCAGCCCAAAGCCTTGGCCGGCCCCCCGGACCTGCATAAGAAACCCGGAAGAAGCTCCGGGCTCCTGGCTTTGGATCAGCTCAGCTCTGGCCATGGCCGCCACTTGGGGAGTGAATCACCAGATGGAAGATCTTTCTGTCTCTCCTGTCTTAAGTCTGACTTTCCAATCATAAAAAAATAATAAAAATTAAAAAGTTAAAGAATCAAACTTTTCGCTTGCAAACATTCGGTGTGTGATAATTGTCAGCAGTGTGATTCTGCGAGCTACATGCACTTTAGGGTAATCAGCCTTTTCTGAACAGCCTTCATTGAGAAAGCAAGCTGAAATGTGAATTAAAGTGACATTGTTCTAGGAATACCCTTGTGTCGGTTCCAAAGTATCTTCAAAAATAAAACAATTTTCAGGCTGCCCTAACACAGTCCTAAAAGAGACTTTTGGCCATTGCACCTCTCCCAATTTTGCTGAATACTGACTACACCCCACAGTAAGAAGGACATTCACAGCTAACAGACCGAGTTTTCATGTTCTGCAATTTTTGTCCCAATGGGTGGGATGTCGTACTTTCCAATAGTTGTTGGTTGGGATCCCAAACCTGTATGTGCCAGTTGTACTTGTTATTGGTAATTACATCATTGAACGCAACCTTATTTAAACTGCTGAAATATGTGTGCTAAAAGAAAGATGTTCTTTGTATGCTGAATTGAATGCAACCTGATGACAATAAAGGAGTTGCTGAAAATACGTTATTGTTGAATGTATTCAAGACAACTGTAAAATAGAAAAAAAAAATAAAGATTCAGATTGTTTTTCAGCGTCTATGAACTTTTGTTCCAATCTGAAGAATAAAAATGGTAAGATTATGTGTTGGCATGTTCGAGAAAAAGTTTGGGGTCAAGCAATGAGCAAATCAGTACTGATTCTTATGTATGTTGGAACCTTCGTGTGTCGTGTTTTCTGTTTCCATCTTTACCCAAACCATTCCTGGTGAGGATCACATCACTCAAGGTTTTTGTTCACTTTGTGTGCAGGCCCAGTGCCTGACACATCACTGAGACACTAGTTGCCTGCTGAATGCATTTGTTGAAGGAATCAGTTGCAAGTTGTGGCGGCACACACCACAGCCAATGGGACATGTGTTCATATACCAGTGTTTTAATAGTGTTTAAAAACCAGCAACCTAGAAGACGAAGGGACAGTTCCCAGCGGATCTCCCACAAAGACTGATACTACAAGAGTTCAAGGTTATGGACAGGGTAACTCAGCTTGGAGCAGAATCCTCCATACAGGTTCCAAATGAAAGATTGTTAGCCTCCATCTTGGAAATTCTGTTTATTAATTGTGCAGAACCTTAGCATTTACATTGTTGGCTTTTTTTAAAGATTTATTTATTTTTATTGCCAAGTCAGATAGACAGAAAGGAGAGACAGAGAGGAAAATGGTCCGTCCGCTGATTCACTCCCCAAGTAGCCGCCACGGCTGGAACTGCGCCAGTCTGAAACCAGGAGCCAGGAGTTTCTTTCGGGTTTCCCATGTGAGTGCAGGGTCCCAAGGCTTTGGGCCATTCTCGACTGCCTTCCCAGGCCACAATTAGAGAGCTGGATGGGAAGCAGAGTTGCTGGAATTAGAACTGGTGCCCATGTGGGATCCCAATGCGTGCAAGGACACTAGGCTACTGTGCTGGGCCCTGTTATGTTGGTTTTTTTTTTTTTTTGAAGACTTGTTTTACGTATTTGAAAGCAGAATTACAGAGAGAGAGGGAGGGATAGAGAGAGGTTTTCCATCTGTTAGTTCTACCCCCCTAAGTGGCTGTAGTAAATCTGGAACCAGGAACTTCTACTAGATTTCTGATGCAGTTGGGCCATCCCACAATGTTATTTTAGGGGCGTTAGCCGGGAACTGGATGGGAAGAGGAACAGCCAGGGCTTGAACTGGCACCCATAGGGGATGCCAGCGTCACAGGCAGTGGTGTACTTATCACCCCACAATGCGTGTCACTAGAATTTATATTTCTTATAAGCTATTCCAAGTGCAAACTTTCAGACTGAAGGTGAGAAATCACCAAGGACATTCGCTTCCCTTCTGGTCATTCATCCCCAGCCCATTTTATTCCTCCAAATGTGTCCCCTGATTTGCAACCAACATTGATGTCAAACATGTTGAAGTGGCTGAGCAGGTTGGAGAGTGGGATGAGGCAACGGACAAGCCCATGCTATATGCCAGGTACAGTAGTACCTATAGTCCCTGTAAGTCAGAAACAGCTTCTTGCAGCTAACCGCGAGGAAGGCTATGGAACCGCTAAGATAACCCGCTGCCTGTGCCATTGTGATCTCCCGGAAGTGAGTCGTGGATAGGATCATCTGTTCACCACGGGACTGAGCATGTGATGGGGATCTAGAGCAACCCGTTGTGCCCTCTTAGTTCTGACAAGGACTGTGGAATTACAGTGAAAGCAGCTGTGGGGCTGAGAGTTTTCTAGTCTTGGCTTTATCTCATTCCTCATCAATTATGTACAGAGCTGCCCCTAAGCACTGGCATTCGGGGTTTTCTGTGAATGTTTTCATCTCTTTTCGGTAAATAATCCCAGGAGTGAGATTGCTAGTAGGGGAAGGTCAGATTTTTTTTTTTTCTTTTCTGTAGAGGAAATTGCCTAGCTGGCCTCAGGGTGGCCATACCATTTTGCTCCCCTTGGCCACGTCCAAAAGTGAATGAGTGCTTGGAGTCACACACAGGCTCATCTCGGACCCTAAACACACACTCCAGAGAACCTCAGGGAGCTAAACACAAGCCATGTGGGAGGACGCTGAGGTCACAGATTTGGGGAAGGCCAGAGAGCCTGGTCTTCCCTCCTCCGCCCCATCTCCCAGCCTTCAGACCCATCTGTTCGGGTCGCATGCCTCGGCCCTGAAGAAAGCTCTGAGCCCACTTCTATCCCCAGCAAGTGTGCCCTTCCCCAAAGCCCACCCTTCTGCTTTAAGCTTTGTGGCCAGATAATGTGACTTTGAAAAGCAGCCCCAACCCTCCCCCCAAAAGGAGGCTAAGAAAGGCTCTCAGATCAACCCTTCGCAGATAGTCACAAAGCTTCAGCAAATCCTTTATTCTCTCGGAGCAGCTGCTGCTGCACCCCGCCCCCCAGCTCTGCCCCCAGTGGAAACCTGAAAGCTATTCATATCATTTAATCCTGTTGAAAATCCTCTTCACTCTCTCTCTCTCTTTCTGAGGTGCGGCCGCCCGAGGTAAACCTGGGCTTAATTCATGTGTTGGAAAGGAGATGAAAGATGTTCCGTGATTTAACGTTCAGGAAACTGACTCTTCCCTAATCTAGAGGCTGCTACTCATAGCCCCCGTTTGAGAGGGACTGAAATAAGTTCTTCAAGCAAATGTAACATTTGGATTCTCTATTCCTGCGCATTCACACTGCAGGAAATATAACCAAAGAACGGAGGCAAAGCAGACATCGTGTGAGGGAACTTCACCAGCTTTCCACCTGTGTGTCATTCAGCCTTCGGGGCTACCAGATGTTTCAAGTTTTATCCTCGATGTGGCAGCAGAAAACTCCAAGGCCCTTTCTGCCCTATTGTCAATCATGGCCACACATTTTAACTCCCAAAAGTGTGGGATCCTATCACTAAATTCTTGAATTATTAAGAAATGTGGACTCTAAGATAGTGTGAAAGTCCTTCTAGGATGAGCTTTAATTCTCTTTAAAATCGAACTCAGGGCTGTGCATCAACTAGTAATACGTGCTCAGATTGTCCCAGGTTTTTTCACGTTGCGAGAAGATTCCTCATCAGGGTTCCAGGGTTCCTACAGTTACAGAAGGGGCAAAAGAGCATGGGAAATGTCATCCACATCTAGGGGAAAAAAAATTCCTTCTGGCTTGTTTCAGGATCCAAGCAGTATTCTGAGAACAAATGATCCCAGGTGGCTAATTAAGGGCAACTCCCTTAAAAGGAAAATTATTATAAGCACCCCATGAAAATCTCAATCCCCTGGCAGGCAATGGTTATTAAACTTCTAAATGTAGCTGGTCCAGGAGGCATCCGGAGGAATACAAAGGTAAAGACTTATCCCCAAGGGCTCTGCCATTGTAAGATACACAGAAAAAACAGAGAATCATTGCAGGGATATGAAGCTTAGAGTCAACACCTACAGCTCCTATGGCTTTGCCTCTTCATTAGTTACCTAGGAGACTTTGAAATTACTGGTACCAGGGCCCAATGCAAGCAATTTTTTTTAAAGATTTATTTTGTTTTTATTGGAAAGTTAGATATACAGAGAAGATCTTCTGTCTGTTGATTCACTCCCCAAGCAGCCCATAGCCTCCTCCGGGTCTCCTGCGTGGGTACAGGGTCCCAAGGCCACAAGCAGGGAGCTGGATGGGAAATGGGGCCACAGGGACAAGAAATGGTGCCCATATGGCATCCCAGTGCGTACAAGGCAAGGACTTTAGCAGCTAGGCCATCGTGCTAGGCCCAGTTCAAGAGATCTTAACTGATGCAGATGAAAGCCTGGGCACAGATTGTTTCAATTCTCCAATATATAGCCATGGTTGAAACTTGCTTCTGTGAAGAGACAAACTGCGAATAAAAGACATTACCAAAACTTTGTCTTCCAGGAAGGCCCATCTGAGCTGTGTATCCTGCTGCAGCGTTCTGGGAACCTGTGGAAGAAGCTTTGGGACACACAATGAGAGTGGAGTTAGAGAAACAGAGGAAATGCCTCATTGATAGCTATCCATGAATAGGGGAAATAGAAAAGAAAAAATCAGGTCCATCCTTAGGAAAATGAGTTTCTTGTGGATAGTTGCTCACAG